GGGGAAACTGATTCACACCCTGGTAGTCTAACTGCAGCCTCACTCTTACACACCCTATGGCAATATGTATGGCAAATACGTCTCTAACTTCCAAGCTCTTGTTACTGGTGCAGTGGAAACCTCACACGCAGCAATAAGGCATTTCCACACAGAGGGCAGAACCCTTGCCATAAATATTGAAGCCGTCCAGTGCTTTAGAAGCAGTTCTCAACCTTAGCTACCCAGGGAGTCACCAGGGAAGCCTCAAATAGCACAGATGCCTGGATTCCACACTAAAGTTTCTGACCGAGTCAGTTTGACATGAATTCTCGACACGGGTTTTTTTAAAAAAAATGTTCTTTAGGAATTCAAATAGGCAGCCCAGAGTGAGAATGGACTATTCCCAACTTTATAGGAATGGGGTTGGTTCTGGAGGCAAGTTCTGCCCACGTAGGACCAGGTACTGACCTGATGTGTCAACCACTGATACCCTGACACAAGATTTTTAATTCTGCTAATTATGTAATGGAGAAGGAAATGGCAACCCCCTCCAGTATTGTTGCCTGGAAAATTCCATGACAGAGGAGCCTGGTGGGCTACAGTCCACGGGGTTGCAGACTCAGACTTGACTGCCTGAGCACATTTATGTAAAGTAAATTACGTGTTTGTCAAGACCATCTGTTGTTTTGGATAAGCTTCCTGTAAAAGGGCAGAGCCAATGTCTTATTTGTATGTGTGTCCCCAGAGCCTGGTAACATCCCTATAAATTTTATTTCCAATTGGGAAGGAAATAATGAAACCAGATTGAACCATCTCCATATAACAAGATCTTGACAGGACATTCACTTAAATCTGCCGGTTACTGTTGAACTGAATACTTATCTGCTAGGCTTTGCGACAGGGAAAGCAGCATACTCTCTTCCTAGAGTTTGAGATTTCTTGGGGATGTTTGAGAAGGACAGTGTGTCAATAGCGTGTGAGAAATTTAATTAGCGTGTGACCCCTGCTAATATGGATGTGTCTCTGCCCACTTTCATGGCCCCAGCACAAGCAGCCTGTCAAAGAGATGCTCCAGGGTCAGGGCATTTAAGCTTTGCTGACTACTGTGAAAGTCATACTTTTCCTTCACTCCAGTATAGTCATCAACCATCGCCTGGTTAGCTTTTCCCTTTGTGGTCCACCTTGAACTGTGTTAGACCCATATTCTTGCCCTTACTTGTTTTACAGTCCACTTACCTGTCCAGGATTTAACCAGGAATCCCTTTGTAACATTTCCCTCCTAAATGGGTCTATTGGTAACCTCTGCAGACCTGGCCTCAGCCACTGGCTCACAGCACTCTCAGACTCAGACAGCTGGGCCAGAGAAGGCAAAACCTATTTTTAAGAGAAAGAAAAGTTACTTACCACTTGACCACAATCAGAACGAGTTGTGGAACAGATGCCTCCTGGCTTCACTGCAGTAGCCACTCTTTTGAAATCATCCTGAAGTTCATTTTCTCTCTGAGGCTCAATGCAAGAGCTTGGACCACAGAAGTCCAAAGGACGGACCACTCATCCTTTGAGCTCGAGGAAATGCCTTTAATCATTTACTTCGGCTTCAAGCTCATCAAATAACCCTTCCACGTTCCTGCTTTCTTAGCCCTGGGAATGTACTTATGTGGAAGCCAGTCACCTACAACATTTCACCCTTTTTCTCCTTTAAAACGAAAGAGCCCATCAGTCCCAGCCTGTCTTCCCACAATGTCCTCATTGTACCAGGGCTAAGTTTCTTACTAAGATGTTTTCATCCAGGGTAGAAGGCTCAAGCTAATCCTTACTTTCCTGGTCTGGACAATGTAAAGCATTTCCCACCAACATCTACCCCACATTCTAGAATATTCTCAACCACAGGGGCATGACATAAGCCATTACACTGCATGATATGCTGCGAGGTTGTAGCAAGTAATCTGCAACCAACAATTATGTGTCAGTGTTCACAGACAGGTCCAAGGGTCCCTTGTATGAATACCACTATCACACTCCAAGGCATCTTCTTTTTTGCAAGAAAGAGAAGGAAACAAGAGTCCCAGGAGTCCCATAAAGCGCTACCATGACCTCTGCCAAGGGCATTTATGCCACAGCCCTAGCCAAACCAGTTGCTGATGCTCCTAACCATTGACTACATATCATTGCAGTGACTTACACTGGGTATACCCATGGGACTGTGGTTAATAGTTCTAGCCACTCGCCTGTCTAAAAAGTACCTATCAGTCATTTCTTTAGGTGGTTAACATCACCTGTCTGACCTTCAAAGAATTAACAAGGCTAAGACATAACGTGTAATACCAAGTACAATGGAAAACTATTCCCTAATAGACTGGACATATAACACATTTTATATTGGAAAATTTATTCAGGCCAGGGCATGCTATATTGTCTGCACACTATATACATGCCTTCTGTTTATTAAATTGTGACAATCCGGCTAGAGAAGTTTCAAAAAGCTGCTTAAATTTAAATGAAATCCATTGATGAAGAAAATATCTTCTGACCTGTCAATGCTGCCTAGTCAGTGCTTGGTGATCAGTATAAGGAGGTAGGTCACAGCTGGACTGCTGTCACAGCAAAAGTGTGTTCTAAGAAGAAACAACTTAGCCATAAGAACTTTTTTCTTTGTGCTGTGTGTCATTGCTAGCTGACACCCTATCCTTCACAGGCATAATAAGCCTTTGAAGCAGATGAATCAATGCTTACACACAACTCCCAATTTGCAGGTATCTTGAACAAACCACCTTTAAGATAATTTTCTTTTGAAAATATTCTCAACCAACAGTAAAGCCAAAAGAAAAAAAAAAAAATCACATTTACGTTGCATTTTGTAGAGCATTAACAGCTTTGGCTGATCTGAGATTATTCTTAGTGTCCCATAAATAAAAACACCAAAACCTTTATAGTTCAGCTTGATGAAATAAAAAGAAAGGCAATTCAGGTTATTTATAATTCCACATGTACAATGCTGTGTTTCTAAGCCACAAACACTTTCATAAAAAAATTTTTATTTCACACTTTTATACAAATATCCACAGGTATTTTCTAATCATGAAATAATTTTACAATTCTAGTTAGTATAAAAATGTATCAAATGCAAACAGACCAGTGACTTGACTTGAGATGACATTTTTAACAACTATAAACACCACTACATTCGTGTTTCTTTTGTTGGTGAACCACCCTTGCACCCCGCCCCCCCTTTTAGGACATTCATTTTTATAACAAAGGTCTATAAACACTTTCAAAATATCAGCTTCTCAGCAACCTATAAGCCAGTGCACTGGGTTCCAAGTTATCTAAGCAAGAAACTGAAATTTTAAACATTGTTATGACCTGTTTTAGAGAAATTTCTGTAAACAAAATATCATCTGTAAAACTATTTTTGTTTTGAAAATTCCAAAGCACAACTAAATATCTTAAGGGCATAAGATTTCTGAAGGAAAAAAAAAAAAATGAAAATGCCAAAGCATCAATATCACATATAGCTGTATTTTGTTCTTTTAAAAGATTTTGATATGCTACTTACACTACAGCCAAACAAATTAGCACCTGTTTGTTGCTGTACCCCCTGTAACTTAACATTTTGAAGTATAGTAATTTTTTAAAATTTAGCATTCCAGCTATTCAATCTCTATTGAATGTATACAATAATAACTTCCTCCTCCCTCCCCTTCATCTTTAAAAAACAATTTAAAGTTCTTTTCAGAGTAGTTAAAGTATTTTGGGGGATACAGACAGGGGAGGAAACAAAGCAAAAAACAGAACATCGACTCATTGATTAAATGATTCCAATAATATTTTAAAACTTCAAAGCCACGATGTTCAGACTTTTGGTATCAGGTATTCAGTAGTCTTACACTGGATCAGTTTGGGTCCACCATCGGCACTCACTGTTTCTTTCAAGTCCTGAATATACAGTATTTTCAGCAGTGACTAAACTGCACTAAAGTCCAACAAACAATCCCATTATTTCCAAGAGTTCCTGATAGTTATAGCAGGAAAATCAGAAATATCACACAGGACTCTAAAAAATATCTTCTGTCTTTAAGAATTAAACATCTCACACTTAAATTCTGTTTCTTAAATGTTTGGGGTTTGGAGGGAGGGGATGAATGCTGTCATGAGGGAGTTAATAACTTAAACTTATCTGTAAAGTATAACAACTCTCTGCTATATTTATAAAGACTTACTATGTTCTTTAGGCAGTCAGTAATTGAGGTCCAACCAGTGACCTCTCATGTTCTGATTCTGATTGCTTAATCCAACCTGAAGGGCAAACTGGAGAATCTTTGGCCTGTTAGTCAATAACAAAATGGTTTGTAAAAAAGAAAAATAAATACCATATACAAATAAGTATAACTAGCATTCAAATCTATTATGCCTGTGTGTTTTAGTGAAAGGGAAATGAAACCTGTGTGTATTTGGTGTGAGCAGGTATTCACACGTCTAGGAAATGGAAAAAGATGGCAGGATGGCAACATCACCTTCTATTGCACATTTAATTATGGGAGCACTTTAGTTTGAACACGGTTACCCTGATGGCATAGGGTTGTGATGCAGGACAGTCAACTGGCATCTTCTCCCGTCCTATGAGAAGAACGCTGGCAGAGGTGGTGCCGAGGTTGGGACGGTCACTCTGTTGGCGCAGGGGTCACAGTGCCTTCTTCCAGCTACACCTTTGGAAGGATGTCATGTAAGAGTAACCAGGCAGGCCCTTCCCCAGCACAAGTAAGTCAAAAACAAAGGCAACCCGGAACGTTAAATTAAGGCAGTTAAAGAAAAATCCATTCCAACAGCCTTCAATTTGGCTGTGCAAAACAGGAGCCTCGGGCTACGTAACAACGTCCACAGTTAAAACTGTAGGCCCGCACTGTTGTGTAGTCTTTCTGAAATCAGTATTCAGATATTGAACAGGTTTTTCAATCCATCTGAGTGTCTGGGTTGGGGAAAAAATAAAGCAGTTTGGGTACTGTGAAGCTTTTCTTGCCTCCCTAGGAGTAGCTTTCATTTTCATTCCACTTTGTGATCCACTGTTTTTTTTCAGGGTTATCATTATATTTTTCATCTTGGATCTCTCGCTCTTCTTTCCGGATCCTTACAGCATGGTATCGGGGAACGCTATCATCGTACCTAGAGCGTTTAAAGAATCCACACTGGAGACAGGGGGAGAAAGAAACAGACACAAATTAAGTAATTCCAAGAAAGGCAAGTCCACTAGATGGTAATATCTAAGCTTTCTGTTCAGCTATGCCTAAATTTGGACTGGGACAAAGAATAAAAGATATGGTTTTCTTTTAAGAAGGAACTAATAGGTCAAAAAGAAATAGTAACAGTCGGTGAAGATAAACAGAAGAGTAACAGCTGTAAAACTGGAAGAAAAGTCCCTTTTCCCATCTTGTCTGTCCATCTTATTATAGCAATGTAAGTTACCTCTAAGAGTTGAAGAGTTTATGAAATAGTGCTTCCATTTTTTTATAATCACCATACTATATGTAAAAGATCTAACTTTCAGATTACTAGAACATCATGTTAATTTCAAGAACAACTTTTTTTCAAGGTCATAAACCAAAGATTATTCCATGCCCCTCTTCCACTAACAAAATGGAAATCAGGTCACAAATATTTTACAAATTACTACTTTAAATGGGTTACCTCTCCTTCAAGGCTCCAGTACATCTTTCTTAATAGCTAAGATGTAATTTATACTGCCTGGATTTCCAAATGAAGCTTCTAAACTAAGCTGTTTCATTAATAAATCATGCAGTGACTGTGTCCTGCAATAAAATCATTCATGTACCACAAAGAATTTGAGGAAACTACCACTAGATTGAATTTCAGAGCATCCTCTAATTTCTTTTCTTTTTGGCAAATATACAGCACTTACACTTAAGATTATTAATGAATATATATTTTATTAATCTTTAAAAACATATTCAATCTGATCCAAAGTAGGTTTTTATTGGGGACATACCTGGAAATTCTTAAGTCAGATTGAATTTTTTTAATGAATAAAATATATATGTATTTTTTAAAAAGATGTGTCTTTAATTTTTAAATGCAGATAAAAGATGGATGAGGAAGATACTTAGACTGGTTGATTAATGTGTTTACTATGTGACATCAATAGGCACAGAACATTTGTTTTGAATGATGTTAAGCTATAAAAATGGCATGGGGCAAAATAAAATTATGTACAAATTTATCACTAAATCAGTGAGGAAAATGGGACAAGAATTTTTCTTCTAAGGCCTTTTCTATTTTCTGCAAAACAACCAAAACACCTATCTGTCACACAGTGTGACTATTGCCCCATTTAAACAAAGAAGAAATTGGGGTGATACATAAACTGAAATGGAAATGCTGGGATTCATCATGACAGGGCCATGGAAAGGGATTACAGGGGTAATTCTACCCTCTGGTGCCCAGAGAAATGGAAAAAGGAATCGCTGCCAATTCCTGTTTCCATGGAGTTACAAATAAGAGAAGCCAAACATGAACTTAAAGTCAGCTGAGACCCAGGGCTGAAAAAAATTTCTAGGTACATGGAACAAAATCAAACTCCATTACAACGTTTTGAATAAACTGTCCACAGCATTTTTATATTAAACTTTTGTAAACTGAAGGCCATGTTGGCAAAGAATCATCTTCTGAAGTTGACCACAATGTCTATCATGCCAGTAGTGAAGAGTTTGTTGTAATGGTCTTTGACTTGTAGTAGATATGCAGGGAAAGGAAGTTGCATGCTTAGCCAGCATAAAACAATTTCTGAGCAACAATAAAAGCATTCCAAGCCTTGCCCCATCATTTTATAGCACGAAAATAAAAAAGATGACAGTGAGAAAGCCTTCTCTTCAAGAGAAACACATGTTTTCAACATGCAACAGGTTAATTAGGCAGTCAACACAAGCTTCTATCTGTGGGAAATTCCAAAATGGACAAGAAATCTGGGATGATTTCTTATGCATCTTTGAAATTCCAAGTGGTATGCTACATACTAGATTAACAACACGTGGCAAACTGGTCTACAGTAGAGGTCTAACACCTCATATGTGTACGTAGATTGCAGTTTTCTTCATTGCTGTGGGTGATGTCTATTAACAACAACACAAAGTGACTCACCTGCAACGAAAGATTCTTTGTGCACTTAAAAAAAAAAAAAACAACTAAGCTTCCAAGTGAAATAAATGAAATAAAATAAATTCAAGCAAGGTAAGCCAGTGTGGACATTTGGAAAACATCTGTTAATGGGACACACACAGCAAGCTGTTGCTTTTAAAGTTAGCCACCACAACCATAGCAGGTTCCACAGCTAGCAATTAAAAAACATTGATCAATTACCAATTACAGAAGTAGATCAATACTACGCATCAGAAGTAAGCCTCTCTTTATCAGATGGCTGAGCATGGATCTCAGCCTTGTGATATGTGGCATCATAGTGATCTTTCTTATTTCTCTTGAAGAAACCACACTACAAGGAAGCAAGGTATTTAGTCAGTGTTACAGTGCTGTGTATAAAAGCTAAACAAAAGAAAAATCTCAGAGTTTAACCTGTTTTCTATTTATAGCTTGCTTACAAAGAGACCACTGTGGATCAACCAAAAGGGAACAGACCCCATACCGTATGACACAGTGACATCAAGTGTGCTGTATACTCAGTTGCTAAGTCCTGGCTGACTCTTTATAACGACTGCATGGACTATAGCCCACCAGGCTCCTCAGTCCATGGAATTTTCCAGGCAAGAACATTGGACTGGATTGCCATTTCCTTCTCCAGGGACTCTTTCTGACCCAGGGATCTGCTTGGCAGGCAGATTCTTTACCACGGCGCCACCTGGGAAGCCAACTCTATTACCATAGGTCTCTGGTCAAATATTTATATGGATGACGCCAGCAAATTGATTTTTCTATTTGTAACAAATCCTAGGGGCCAAAATCATTCTAAAAGGGAAAATATTTACACATCTGATCATAGTTTTGGGTAGTTTCTTCTTGCAGGGCTTCCCAGGTAGCTCAGTGGTAAAGAATGTGCCTGCCAATGAAGGAGACACGGGTTCGATCCCTGGGTCAGAAGATCCCCTGGAGGAGAAAATGGTAATCCACTCTAGCATTCTTGCCTGGGAAATCTCACAGACAGAGGAGCCTGATGGGCTATAGTCCATGGGGTTGCAAAAAGTTGGACACAACTGAGCACACAGTTTCTTCTTGCAGGGGATGTGGAGTCTAAAAATGCAAAAGATTGACATCTGCAGTTTACTAATTCAAAGTGTAAAGAATAAATTCTCTAAGACTTCGCACAAATCCAAATAAAAGAGACACTGAATATTTTTTTGTCCTTTTCAGTGAATTTGATGGGATAAGTGCCATCTACTTGAGGCCTTTGTGGGGTAAATCACAATATAAATTTGAACATACCATCATGAAATAACGATTGCTGTCACTTTCCCAAATTCTGAGCCACCATGTAACATTTACGTGGTAGTAATCTGTGCTCCTCAGATTAGGTCACTCTAAATGAGTATAGAGGTATAGGAAAAGACTGTCCTTGTAGGACCTCTTCTGGAGAGCAACAGAAGGCCATCCTCAAATATCAAACCTCACATTCAGCTTCTGATATCAAAATAATTTCCAGAGCATCTCCTATATTGGCTGGCTGTGCTCAGACAAACCTACTATCTGAAGTAAATATCAGGTAGGACTGGCTAACTTCCCATTGGAGGATGGGTCTTGGCATAATCAGATACCAAACTTCAATCACACAATTGGAGGACGCCCAAAAACTACCTCAAAATTATCTTGGCAAAAGGAAGTTACTTGGAAAAATAAAGCAAAAAGAGATGCCCAATATTTGAAGGTGAGAATATCTTGAGTCCTTGTCCGTTATACTTGGGTCCAAAGAAAAGAAGGATAGTTTGATCCTAGATACTAGTAGTTGAGTTTCATCATCCTTTGCCTCTAGACCAGACATGCTTGGAAACCCCAAATTTCCGGCCTTTTAGAAAAGTAATACACTGCATACATGTCACAGTAATTAAAACATTAGTATTCCTAATGTTTTAGAATTGAGTAAAGGATAGAGACTATAAATATCCTCTATTCACATTATGTCAAGTTGAGTTGCCAAATAAGTCATTACAAACTTTGAGTTTTGGGGGATTGTTGATCAGAATCTGAATCTCCATTACTAAGTGAGAATAGCCCAAAATCTATAGGTGATAATTTTTGCCAAGGAAAGTATGTGACATCTCATACATTTTTTGTAATGTCGACTATTTACTGGTGCAAAGCAGAGGGAAGATACTACATTATATTTACAGCACCAGACTCTAATGAAGTACATCATTAAACACAAATCTTCCTTAAGCTTGATATAGGCTATGGTGACCATTTTGAGATTCATTAATTTCATGCTTTCCTATTTCCTGATCTAGCTGCAATTGTAATAAGCCCCCATGGCTGCCATGAACATTTCTTTTCAAAAGTTGAAATTAATAGGGATACACATTCTGATTAGCGTGATAACCAATTTGGCTTAGATTCAGAATATGATCTTTAATAAAGAAACAGTCATAGTGGCAAAATTTTAAAAATTATTATCTGCCAAACATGCTATATTATATGTGAAAGCACTGAAATTTACACACTTAAGAAACTCCTTATAATATATAAATACTATTCCTTTAAATATAAAATATTAGGTATTCAGATATTCATTATATAATTCTCGAGTTTGCTGTATTTTGGAAAAATTTCATAGAAAAAATGTTGGGAAAAAGAAACAATGCAAAATGTATGTACTATCAGTGTTAATTTACTTAAAAAAAAAAACCTGAAATAAAGTTTATATCACAAAACTCAAGTGCCATATGACTTACCTTCCACAGTAAAAATACTAATAGACCAAGCATCAAAATCCCAGCAAGAATGGCCACTAGGATGATCCACCAAGGTACTCCTGAATGTTGAGCTACAGTCTTTGAGGGAAACACAGTCACACGAACCTATGGGGCGTAAAGGAAAGCAATACCATTACAAACCTGGGTGAGAATTAAACTCTGAGTTTGTATCACTAATTCTGCTTCCAGATATACTTGGTCAATATAGCCTATGGATAGATGATGTGTCTTCGGGTGTGAGTTCCTTTCCTTTAGTAATGGAATATTGCTTCAAGAGGCATTTCTTGGAGCTCTTTTCCCAGAACCTGGAAAATGCTGGATTTTGTTTTGATGAAATAACTGCTTCTGTGCTATCTTTTATAAATTTTTATAATCAACAAAAGTAGAGAAAATTGTATAATGAACCACCATTTATTCATCAAGTTTCAACAATTACCCAGAGGGACACAACTAATCTTGTTGTATCTATATTAATATAACCTGGTATCTTTGTGAGAACAATCACCCTCTTAATTAAGCATTCAACAATGGCAACAAGAGTCCATTTATGCACAATTAGCCTACATTCCTCACTCATATTTTAAAGATGTTATGAAATATAAAAGAGGGACGGAGCTGCATTACTGATACCATTCTAATTTTCCCTTAAGGTTGAAACCAAGCAGGACCCAGTGGGGCCCTCTCAGCAGACCAAAGCTTTATGGTTCAAACCTGAGAGTTACTTGGAACCACAGGATTGTGATGGTCATCTTTGAAAAGAGAAGATTACCTCTTCCCCAGCACATAGCCCCTTCCTCTTTTCCCTAAGTAATCTCAGAACAAAACCTGAGGAGTTGGTTCTTGGGGACATGAGTTCACCTTCTCCCCAGGATTGCTAGCTTCCTCAATAAAGCTCTCTTTTCTTTTACCTAACACTTGTCTCTCAGTATTGGATTCTTGGGTTACAAGAAGCCAAACCTGAGTTCAGCAACAGGATAGCAAACTAAAGACCCTCGTAAAGAATAAAATTTCCTGAAATGGCTTGGTGTCATTTACTATGACAATGTATACAGACAAACGAGACTCTGGATTCATTCAGAGGCAGCTTACAGCTTTAAGCACCAGCTGATGAAAAGTTTAAGCTATAAACACTTGATAGCTGGCAAATACCAATTGAATAGAAGTGTTTATTCAGAAATCTAAAAGTTGCTTATGGTAATTTGCAACAACTTGGTTATGTGAGCTTAGAATTCAAGTGGATTTCTGTGATGCCAGAAGGTTTTTTCTCAGGAAACTAATCTTCAAAGCTTATAAAAGACCTGGTGAAAGCTACAAATGATTTTGTAAACTATGCTGATTAGTCATCTATCAGTTTGAAGTTTCTGCTATTTTAGAATTTAAAGAATATAAAGTGAAGGGTAAAGAAAACTTAAGAGGGAACAATTTAACTCCTGAGAAGTGTTTCTAGTTAAGTATTCTACATTAGTATTGAATTCTGGATGCTGCCTAAAATGCTTCCATGTCTACACTGTGATTCAGTACTACTATACTAGAACACTTAAAAAAAAAACAAAACAAAAACCTCTTAAAAATATTTCTATCTATACCAGAAAACAAGTTTTCAACCTCCTCTTACAGAAGATACTTAAAAGCAAAAACTGCTTTTCTTTAAACATCTTTAATAGGAACAGAATTCACATTAAGAGTTTTCTAAGCTCTAACCACACAAACACGTTTATCAGCTACTATGTTTCCTGTTATGGTCTCAATGAAGTTTTACTCAAGCTCTCAGCCCAGGGGAGGGCCTCCTGACTCACTTCCTCTTGCCTCCCTTTCCCCAACAAGTGTCCTAGCTTTAAGCTGAAACAACTCTTTCTTGAGATTACCAGTTGAAGCAGAGAGGTACCCATGAAGTAGGGAAGAGAGAATGTGAGACCAGTAAGGAAATAATACAGTTGATGTGTGTGCTAAGTCAGACAATCCTAAACTAAAAAGATTACTTCAACTAGCCTATGCTTTATCTTGGCTTCCCAGGTGCACAGTGGTAAAGAATCCGCCTGCCAGTGCAGGAAACACAAGAGATGAGGGTTCAATCCTTGGGTCTGGAAGATCCACTGGTGAAGGGAACAGCTACCCACTCCGGTATTCTTGCCTGGAGAATTCCATGGACAGAGGAGCCTGGTAGGCTACAGTCCATGGGGTCGCACAAAGTCAGGCACGACTTAGCAGCATGCACACACACATGCTTTATCTCATTTAACTTTGCTTCCCTAGTATGTAGCATAGGCAAGCCACACAGTATCCCTGGGGCAAGGTGATGACTTGGAAGGGCCATTCTCATTTTTAACAATAAGCCCTGATGAAGCCTTTTGAAGTGGAGAGCGCACACTGGTCCACAGACAGAGGAATCAGCCCTATCGTCTCCGGACCAGTCTTTCAAATGGATGATCCTAGAGGGAAACCACACCCCAAAATGGCTGCAATTCGACAGCCACAAGGGCTGAACAAGGTAGTTTTTTGTTTTGTGGGGTTGGGGGTCGGGTGCAGTGTAGGCAGGAACTCAGCTGACAGCTCTAAGCCCCAGATCTGGCTACCATTCAAATCAGATCTTGGTCTTTTAGAAACTAAAACAAGTCACTGTGCATCAGACTGAGGGCTAATGCTAGGCTCTGGGCCACACTTTCAAGGGTCAGATGTGCTCTACAAATCCAGTGTGTGCAAGGCCACACCACAGGAAGGCAAGAGAGGCCAGTCAGCAAGATTTTATTGTTTGTTTCCTTGAACTGTCAACTCTGTGTGGTGTGTGCATGTATGACAGTCATTCTCCAGCTGGGACTGAGAATGGGGGAGGGGAGTGGAGCTGGCCTTAGAATCAGGTGGGGGCAGACCAACTATGAGCTGATTCCCAGAGCTCTGGACACCTTGTCTCATCTCGTCACAGCAACTGTTACTGATGAACAATGACAGGTTCAGGCGAATAGAAACTACTCCAACTTCAAAAACAAACAAAAAAATTGTTTTGGTTGCATTAAAATCTAGGCATTTCCACAGGGATGACCTGTGCATGTGAACCTCATCCATCATGTGTCCATAAGAGGAAAAGGGTTTAATTCTGCTGATGCATTAAATTCCATCACCAGTGAGCAGTGCTGAGACCACATGAGCTTGCCCCCAGCCAAAACTGTTTCCCTAAATCACTCTTTAATGTAATATCCTCCACTCTCATTGAACTTTAGTATAAGATATTCACTCAATGAAGGGATTTTCATATCTTTTATGAAACTATTAAGGAAACCATCCCCTTAGTGAGTGTTCTTCATATTACAAATTCATCTTATAGAAGAATCCACATCTCAAGTTCTTCTCTGAATTTAGAACCAAAAAATGAAAATCTCCTCCACCCTGAAGAATAACATGTCTACTTCCACTTATCACACTCTTCCTCATCTTTGGCAGGCAGGAAGTTTACCCACTCTCTTCCTATTCCTTAGGAATGAAGTCCAGTTCAGTTCATTCAGTCATGTCCAACTCTTTACGACCCCATGAACCACAGTACGCCAGGTCTCCCTGTTCATCACCAACTCCCAGAGTCTACCCAAACCCATGTCCATTCAGTCAGTGATGCCATCCAACCATCTCATCCTCTGTCATCCCCTTCTCCTCCTGCCCTCAATCTTTCCTAGCATCGGGGTCTTTTCAAATGAGTCAACTCTTTGCATCAGGTGGCCAAAGTATTGGAGTTGCAGCTTCAACATCAGTCCTTCTGATGAACACCCAGGACTGATCTCCTTTAGGATGGACTGGTTGGATCTCCTTGCAGTCCAAGAGTCTTTTCCAACACCATAGTTCAAAAGCATCAATTCTTCGGCACTCAGCTTTCTTTATAGTCCAACGCTCACATCCATACATGACTACTGGAAAAACCATAGCCTTGACCAGACGGACCTTTGCTGACAAAGTAATGTCTCTGCTTTTTAATATGCTGTCTAGGTTGGTCATAACTTTCCTTCCAAGGAGTAAGCGTCTTTTAATTTCATGGCTGCAATCACCAACTGCAGTGATTTTGAAGCCCAAAAAAATAAAGTCAGCCACTGTACCCATTGTTTCCCCATCTATTTGCCATGAAGTGATGGGACCAGATGCCATGATCTTAGTTTTCTGAATGCTGAGCTTTAAGCCAACTTTTTCACTCTCCTCTTTCACTTTCACCAAGAGGCTCTTTAGTTCTTCTTCACTTTCTGCCATAAGGGTGGTGTCATCCACATAGCTGAGGTTATTGATATTTCTCCCAGCATTCTTGATTCCAGCTTGTGCTTCCTCCAGCTCAGCATTTCTCATGATGTACTCTGCATATAAGTTAAACAAGCAGGGTGACAATACTCCTTTTCCTATTTGGAACCAGTCTGTTGTTCCATGTTGAGTTCTAATGGTTGCTTCCTGCCCTGCATACAGGTTTCTCAAGAGGCAGGTCAGGTGGTCTGGTATTCCTTTCTCTTTCAGAATTTTCCACAGTTTACTGTGACCCACACAGTCAAAGGCTTTGGCATAGTCAATAAAGCAGAAATATATATTTTTCTGGAACTCTTGCTTTTTCAATGATCCAGTGGATGTTGGCAATTTGATCTCTGGTTCCTCTGCCTTTTCTAAAACCAGCTTGAACATCTGGAAGTTCACGGTTCACATATTGCTGAAGCCTGGCTTGGAGAATTTTGAGCATTACTTTACTAGTGTGTGAGATGAGTGCAATTGTGCAGTAGCTTGAGCATTCTTCGGCACTGCCTTTCTTTGGGAAGGAATGAAGTAGGGATATGTAAGTACAACCAATAAGAAACTTCCTCCTTCCTTGGCTGAATTCAACAAATCTCTCCTGGTTCACTCTCTCCTGTGTTCATTCAGTCGTGTCTGACTCTTTGGGACCCCATGCACTGTAGCCCACAGGCTCCTCTGTCCATGGAATTTTCCAGGCAAGAATACTGGAGTGGGTTGCCATTTCTGACTCTAGGGGATCTTCCTGACCTGGGGTTGAACCTGAATCTCTTGTGTCTCCTACATTGGCAGGTGGATTCTTTACCACTGCACCATGTGGCAAGCCCCACTCACTGTCTCCTAGACCATGAAATTCTTAACAACTGACACTATCTTATTCAATTTTGCTTCTCTAGCACGTTTGTGGGGAAGGCTTCTCTGGCACTTCTGCAGTGCATCCATGGCTAATTGGCTTGTTAACTGGATCAATTTAATTGATGCTAAAATTTTAGTAACCATCTTATCTGGTTCAGTTAGGTGCCCAGCTCTCCCTGACTTTTGTTATAACAATATCTTAAATGTGTTTTATTAAGAAATGAACACAGGTGGGAAGGAGGTTTAAGAGGGAGAGAACATATGTATACCTATGGCTGATTCATGTTAATATTTGGCAGAAACCAAGACAATTCCATAAAGCAACTATCCTTCATATAAAAAAATAAATATTTTAAAAAAGAATTGAACACAAAACTCTTAAAACTGGGTTATAAGAAAACAAAGATTTTTTTATCTTTTTAAAGCCAGGATTAGAGTAAAAGCAATGGGAAAACATATCAACATTAACACCAAAAGACAAGGCTGAATTATTCAACCTACTTTGCTTCATGTCCAAAGAAAAATAATCTAGACACTGGAAAAGACACAGAATCAAGAAAAAAATGAAATTGAAACCCTCAGTAAGTGAGGGAATAAAAAATGAAGGCATTTGACACTTGAATTAAACTTGAATCTTTAGAAACCCCCAAAACTACACTTTAAAATACTAAAGAAACATGTAGATATGACAGCTGAGCTATTATATCTCAGAAATCAGTTAATAGAAAAGGTAACAGAAGACTAGAGATTAAAAAGTCTCTGTTTTCAAAAGAAATGGGTTCTAGATATGAGACTAATTCATTTTCAAATTTACCAATTATTAAATAATCAAGTAGTAGTATATAGCAAAGATTCCAATTCCCATTAGTAGGCATGGGCTCTCAAAGCCCTGAGAACATGAAGTGCCCAAGAGAACCTCGTTTGCATTTGTGACCCAGCCACTAGTCTAGACACCATGGCCTTCAGTTCCATCATCTTCAAGAAAACAAGAGCACTTGATGAGAGGTCACGAGCCAGGGTCTGGTCTTACCTCCACCCCACATGCTGGTCTTGTAACCCTGAGGGACAGACAACCTTCCTTGGACTCAAGTTTTCTCATCTGAACTTGAGACTTGGGGACTTCATGGGGAGCAAATATTATAGGGTCAAAGAATAGGGGCCCAGAAGCCAGAATGGTATAGATTTCAATCCAGGACTGCAAATGACATCCCCTGTCTATGCCTGCTTCCTTTTTTGTAAAGTGGGTACAATGTCTACCTTGGCATTCTCCTGCAGTTTAAATGACAGTATATGGGTAAAGCATCTAGTAGATGGTAGACATTTAATTAATGCTTTATTAATATTAGTTTCTTCCCTCTAAAGTTTTCTTTTCTTTGAAGCTCAGTGATTCTCAGGATTGCTGATTAAAAGCTACAGAAAGTTACAGCAACTGCCTTTAGTCAGAGAGGGAGACAAAGGATTCTCAGGAAGCGTGTGATCTGATGGTCTTTATGATGCCTTATTAGTAAAGGTAGAGGAAATTCCCTGGTGGTCCAGTAGTTAAGAATTTGCTTTCCAACGCACAGGATGTGGGTTCAATCCCTGGTTGGGGAACTAAGATCCCACATGCCAAGGGGCAGCTGAGCCGGCATGCCACAACAAGCCCGCACACAGGGAAGAAGACTCAGTGCAGGCAAAAAACTAAATTTAATTTAAAAATTTTTTAAAGATGCAGAAAGGTAGGAGTAACCTGCAAAGACAACCTAAGGTCAAGGTGAGGGTACATCCTGGGACAGTCCTGGTTTACACCACATGCCCCAGCATCCTGCCCAGTTTAGCACTTGCCCAGACAAACGTTTGTATTCTAGTTGAGGTTGATAAATTTTAATTAAGGGTCGCTATATTCCAGAAACCAAGGTCATCAGGGAGACACACTGGATTTCAGCTGGTCAAAGGATGGAAGCCTAGACATTTGCCTTAAGTACATCAGTAGATCAGCTTTACGACAGAAATTCTTCTCTATTCACTCTCTTGCAAAACACTCCCACCTGTGACCTGCAGTCATTTACTTTGGGAGCCCAATACAAGTCCCTGTGGGGCCAGACCCCTCCACCCCCAACTAGGAACCCCTTACTAAACACAAGCTTCTGCTGCTAGTCCTGGTCAACAGTTTTCTTAATTACCTGGATGAGAACACCCAAGACATGCTTCTTGGCTTTAAAAATGATAAAGCTTGCAAGGAAAGAAAGTTATCAGAAAGCAAATGATCAAGATTCAAAATTACGTTCTAAGCCCAAACAACAGACCAAAAGTAAGCCACACAAGATGTGGGGATGAACTCAAAGGTGTGCAAAAACTGCTCAAGGGTGCGATGTGGGAAATATAGTTTGACAGCACATTCAGATGAAAACACCTGGAAGTTTCAGCAGAACACAAACAGAAAAATAGTAGCTGCCAGAAAAAAAAAGCCATCTTCAGCAACCATTTAAAGGCCACATTTTAGGCTGAACTAACAGAAGCTGGGAGGCTGTTAAAGGGAAACTTAAGGTGAACTAGGCAGACCACACGTCAGCTCTTCTTCCTGGAGCTGGCCCAGGAAGAGACAAGATCTGGAACCTGTTCAGCTGCATCAGGCAGGACAGATAATTGAAGAGCTGGGTGGTCAGCTTTGAAGAGAGTAAGAGAGGTATGTCCAAGAAAGTATCACAGTTTCCTTCAATTATTTCAAAGGCTACTACATGGCCGAGAAGGAGGACGTATGTTGGGACTTGTTCCAGGAGGCATAATCAGGAACTGATTTTAGAAGATTTAAGTCTCAATCCCTATAATAAGAGATGGTTTCTAATAACCGCCACTGGCCATACACTCCCCCCCAAGGGCTCCCCGCTAGCACAGTGAGGTTACCATCAGTGGGAGTACACCAACATTGGCATTGCCATTGGCATGAGGGGCGGTACGAGATGTGGGATCTTTAGACTAAGGAGGTGCACCCCTCCTCTCCTTGAGCCAACAGCTCTCAAATCTGTCCCATCCACAGCAGAACGAGATGACCCGAGTCACCTCTTTCTTCCATTATTCTACTGAAATACAACTTGGGGTGGGTACCACCTTAAGACATGATTTGCCTTCTCTTTAAAGGGAGTATCAGTGCCTTGAGAGACATGAGTCCAGAACAGCATGTTCTCAGGCCACGGGCGTGGGGTGGAGGAGAGAGATCAACTAAGTGAAGCCCATGGAATCCTAACCTGAGTGCCTGCGTTGGGTAGCTTGATATTCTCGGTGGTGGCAATGACATCAATGGAAGCCCGCACGAGAATGTCCAAGTAGTTCATCTTGGAGTATTCCTGTTTGGAGACACAGTGAGTGAAAGCGTGAGTGAAAAGAGAAATGTTCTAGGAGGTGGCAGATGGCTTGGGACACAGCCTGCAGTGGGGTCACACCTCCAGAAACGTGCTGTTCCACAGCCTCGAGCGCAGAACCAGGGAGGCCTTGCTGTCCAGCCCTCGCAGCGGGCACTTGATGTTCACACAGTTCACATTCACGCTGCAGTTCTGGGGTGAAAAAGAATAGGAGTTATAGCACAACAGTCTGGGGAAGGCCTTCCCACCACCTCCTGGAAAACTCACAGCGCTTGAAAAATACTCACAAGGGTCTGATATTTTCTTTCGGAAAATAAAGAAAATTTTCTGCCATCATCTGTTTGTCTTTCGGCAATTTCTCGTTTCCTTCTTGAGTTGTGAGCCTCCTGAAAAGAATTACATCTGAAATACTTCCACCAAGTGTAATTTTTGGCATTACTGTACAAATCTCCAGAGTAAACCCTCCCAGATTATGCCAAATTCACGACTGATAATCTTCACCTTTCTCCCAGCACCAAGGTGTGGGAACAATTTAAGTGTAAGATCCACAAAGTGTTAAAATTACCAACCTCACTTCAACTTTATTTTTCAAGGTAATTTTCTTTCATTCCAACCTTAAAACTCAAGAGTGAGACAAAGGCTTTCTTTATTCTGCTGTCTCCTCACCAAACTGTGAGCATCCTGAGATCAGGGACCAATCTCATTCCTCTACCCCTAAGCACTCAGATCGGTACCTAACATAACTGTAAAAAGTCAGCACATCCTGAATGAGTGACACGGAATGAGGAAAAGGGAAAGTAGAAAAGATCGAGCATGATTTATTCAAAGGAGAATACTGAAAACTAAGCCAAGGAAGATGCTTTAAAATTTCATTTTTTGGACTTCCCCAGTGGTACAATGGATAAGAATCCACCTTCCAATGCAGGGGACACAGGTTCAATCCCTGGTCTGGGAAGATGTCACATGCCTCAGAGCAACTAAAGCACACGTGCCACAACCACTGAGCCCACGCTCTAGAGCCTGCCAACTGCAACCAGTGAGCCCATGTGCTGCAACTATGGAAGCGCATGTGCCTATGCTCCACAATAAAAGAAGCCACTGCAAAGATAAGCCCGTGTACCGCAAGGAAGAGTAGCCCCCGCTCACCACAAGGAAGAGTAGTCCCCGCTCACCACAACTAGGAAAGCCCATGAGCAGCAACAAAGACCCAGCAAAACCAAAAATAAATAAATAAACTGCATTTTTCTTAAAGATTAGGAATAATGGACCATCTTGTTTCTCCAAGTTGATGAATATAAACCACCAACTATGAACACTGGCCATACCCAGTCACCTTAGAAATTAAAAGAAACAGATGTGCAATAACAAAGCAAGTCTTTATCAAACTGGAGCATAAATGATAGATCAGATAGTTACTTAAGTATGGAGCAGTACAGAAAGAGGTTAACAGTGCAGGCTTTGAAAACAAGCAGGGTTGTGCATGAATGCACTGCCCTCAAAACTACTGAGTGACTCTGAGAAAGTTAATCTCTCTGATTTTCAATGTCCTCATCTATGAAATGGTGGGGATGAGAAAAATATCTCATCAGATGATCAAGACAATGAAATGGGAAAATGCAAATCAAATGCTTAGCATGGTGCTTGAGATATAACAAGCACTCAATAAATATTTTCTATTCTAAAAAGAATGAAAAGTCTTCAAGGTCACTTGCTAAGGTGCCAGTATGTTCTGTAATGCTTGATTCTACTGGGAATTAACATTGGCTGGCCCATCCCAGGGCATGTCCTTATATGTCACACTGGGCCTTCAAACTTCAGAAAATGTCATTTGCTTCAACATGCACAAAATGACCCTGACTTATATGCCACAGTGGTGATTAGGATTTCTGCCTAATCAGCAGAAATCCTCAGCCTGACTTGGTTACTCACAACAAAACAGAAACTCTGACAGCAAAGGAAAAATAATTCAACATGCCAGAATGTCAGTTTCCCAGGGCAAGCAATGATGTCCCCCTTCTCTAATATTAACATCTATGAAGACATGAGAGAGATGCATTAACATACCGTCAGTTTCAGGAAGTTTATTTCACCTTGTGGCTCACAAGTTATTTTTTCCAATCCTTTTGATTCTACTTTCACCAAATAAAGCAACCATTTGCCGTTGCTAATTTCTTTTGGCCACTGGATATTCAAGGTTGCTGTGCCGAGGTTTTTAAGAGGTTTGCCCAAGTTAATTACCTGTTAGAAAATAATATGTATTATCTCAGTGTAATTCTCTCAACATAAAATTAGGTAAGCAGTTCCTATTGCCAAGAAAAAAAAAGTCAAAATATCTGGTATAATTCAACCATAAAAGCACAGGCTCCAAAAGTGGACTTTGGATAAGGCATTCAAAATAGAGATTTGTGTTTAAAGATTCTTGTCAATAAAAATGGGGGGGGGGGCGGGGGGGTAAAAGATCAAAGAGAAATAATTGTTCCCTCAATTCAGGAACAATTTTTGTGTGCAACAGAATCTGCCAGGCTCTCAAAATGCCCAGGGAAAAGTCACACGTGTTCTTGTATCGCTCTGTAACCACTCTGCCTGGCAGGTGCCAAAGCCAGTGTGGCGACAGTGCAGCCATCGGTTGCTTCTGGGAAGCCCCACCTACTGCAAAACTGAAGCTGCCTCTGTCCTGACTACAGGGTGGGGGCTTGGGATAACAACTGAGAGACCCGAGTAGGGCCATTCTGGCAACCATGAACCCATGAGTCCAAGCTGGGGACAGGGCAGGGAGCAACTCTGTGCAACAGACATCAAAAGAGTTTGTGTGAAAGACCGCTCCAGAACCCACAGACCTCTTTGCAGCCACACCTGCATAGGTGTCATAATCAGCACCACCCACTAGCTGTCTCAGTTGTATCTGTAAAGCTAAGGGATTCTTTCAGAGGAGAATTCCACCTCTTCATCCTGCTAGAGTCAACGGTAGACCCATTTTTGCTATTTCAGACTTTCACCTCAACAACGGTCACTGTGCTTTCAGGAATATGATTTGAGCCACACAGACCTGAACCTCTGTATGAGTTATGAGTCACCTCTGTACCATGCACTTATGTTCATTTGACTGGACTTAAGAGCCACTGTGACTACCTACTTTGGAATGGGTCAGAGCAATCATTAGTCTTCCTTACGGGTATACATCAAACCCACATTCACCATCACAAAACTGCGCTTGGGAAAGGTCAGTGAACATTAACCATAAGCAATAAGAGAGATGACCTTGTAACAGAGGATCATTCACACATTCTAAAGCCAAATAGCATTTTGAGATTTTTGTTTTATAGACAGACTCTGGGGAGAAAAAAATCGAGTACTCCTTTGTCTCAACACCACATTTATTATTAATACATTAAAATTCCCTAAGAAGAAAAAGACCAAACTGAATTTGATTCTGAACAGAGTCCTATGTTAAATGAAGCTGTGGTTCTCCGTTCTGAAAGACAACTTTTACACTAAGCCATTATGCTGTTTAAAAACTGGCAAGCTCCCTTTATCACACTTATTTATTGTTACTTATTAAAACTACACATTCAAGATCATATACAGCATAGGTTAGCTTCTGATACACAGACTGGGAGGGCCAACTGCGACCACTTACCCTGAACTCGTACTCAATTAAACTTCCCACGTCCTCTTCAGATTTCATCGCTTGCTCACCAACTACTGTACCTCCAAAATACACCTGGGAAGGTTTAGCAACTCTGTTAAATTAAAAAACACCAGTTTTAGTGAGGATTGTAAATGGTTCTTTCAGACACTGATTTGTTATGCTAAACACAAACACTTACCCGGAGACCGATAAAAGCAGTTCAATAACCACTTTTGCTGTAGCTGTAATTGAAGCCAAATTATCCTGATTGCTTGTTCTGAAAAAATGAAAGGGAAACAATAGGGTTTTATTGTAACAGTCAGTTTTCTCATTAAATTACACTTCTTTTATGAGTTAGATAAAGGCCAATTCATTGACTGGCTGTGTTTTCATGAAATATTTCTGAATGGAAGGTTGAAAGAATCTCTTACGTTTCCAACTTCAGATTAATATCCAGATCTGTGGTGTCAAAGGTGACCTCAGTTGTACTTAAAATCAAATAAAAAGTAACCTAAGAAACAGAAATGGCTGTTAACATAGGCTGAACATATTGACACTGCAATGGTATTTTAAAAATTAAAGTATAGTATGTAAAGGCATCACCTACACTAGAATTTCTTTTAAAAGGATTCCCAAGCTCACAGTCTGCTTGTGAGCCGTTCTGGTTGGCAACACAACTCAACTGCTTCTCCTGTAATAGAAAAACAGACCAGATCACAAAACATTCACATACCACACAATGTTTTTTTTTTTCCTCCAAACTGGTCTCTTAAAATACTTACAGGGAAAGCCCTCAGTTCTCTATATGCAGAATAAGTCAGAGTGTCTGGAAAAGTGGCAATGAGTTTAGCTTCGTGAGCGTCATCACCATCTTTGGTGGGATTCTTTGGGTTAGAAGGGCTGTTCGTCACTGTTATTTCTAAAGCAATGTCCTTCTGATCTTTTAGAACTAGTTCTGGTACACCTTTTTGACTATTACAGGAAAAAAAAAGGAAAACAACAAAGTTCTCAATAGATTTTCAATAACCCTTCACAAAAAGTCACTGCAAAGCCAGAGCCATTTTTGCTAGTACTATAGCACAATTCTTACATTGGTAAATAAGAAAATTTGTCCTGATTTCCTTCTCGGGTACAAAATTTATACTCTAGCTTAAGGTTGCTGTTACATATGTTGTCGTCGCCACATCCCTCTTTTAAGAAGTGCACCTGTAGGAAAACAAAATTGTAATTTACACCATTTAGGACTCTAAATAAGTGCCTGTTTCCATACAGTTCATTTCCCATTGTGACAGTTACCATAGCAGAATTCAAACTAAAACATACTTTGCATCAAACGCCCACTCTGTCTTTTAATGAAACTGTGTTTTCCGAACACTTTGACCAAGGCATTGAGATGCTGTAGGGCAGTAAAGAGTAAGCCTGGCTCAGCTGTGTGGCTTTGGGCCAGTCAGTTAATCTTTCATATTCTAGGTTTCAACAGAGGTGACATTGGGGACACCACCGCCCTGCTACACAGGGTTACTGTAAGAGTTAACAACAGTAATGACAGTACTACCCAACACATGACTATGTATTTAAACTCATGCAATCTTCACAAGGGACTATGAGGCATATACTGTTCAGAGACCCACTGCACGGATGGGGAAACAGAGTTCAAGGTTAGGAAAGCAAAGGGCAGAGTATCTTGCACTATGCTAAGGGATGCTTGATAATCACACTAATCAATAATTAGGGAAATGGTCTTGTTTTTTATGTTTAATATGACTATGGAGCTTGTGTATATGGGAATATACAGAAGAAATATTAATGGACAATAAGTGACATTGACAATTACAACAAGGCTGTATATTGTGACCTTATTTAACTTATTTGACCTTATTTAACTTATTTGCTTATTTAACTTATATGCAGAATGCATCATGTGAAATGCCGGGCTGGATGAATTACAAGCTAGAATCAAGATTGTCAGGAGAAATATCAACAATCTCAGATATGCAGATAATACTGCTCTAATAATAGCAAGTTAGGAGGAACTAAAGAGCCTCTTGATGAGGGTGAAAGAGGAGAGTGAAAAAGTTGGCTTGAAACTCAACTTAAAAAAATCTAAGATCATGGCATCTGGTCCCATCGCTTTATGGTAAATAGAAGGGGGAAAAGTGGAAGCACTGACAGATTTTATTTTCTTGGGTTCCAAAATCACTGTGGATGAAGACTGCAGCCATGAAATTAAGACACTAGCTTCTTGGAAGAAAAGCTGTGACAAACCTAGTCAGTGTATTAAAAAGCAGAGACATCACTCCACCAACAAAGGTACACATAATCAAAGCTATGGTTTTTCTAGTAGTCATGTACTGATGTGACAGTTGGCTCATAAAGAAGGCTGAGCACTGAATAACTGATGCTTTCAAATTGTGGTGCTGGAGAAGACTGTTGAGAGTCCCTTGGACAGCAAGGAGATCAAACCAGTCAATCCTAAAGGAAATCAACCCTGAATATTCACTGGAAGGACTGATGCTGAAGCTGAAGCTCCAATACTTTGGCCACCTGATGCAAAGATGCGAAGAGCTGACTCATTAGAAAAAATCCTGATGCTGGGAAAGATTGAAGGCAACAGGAGAAGGGGGCAACAGAGGATGAGATGGCTAGATAGCATCACTAACTCAGTGGACGTGAATTTGAGCAAACTCTTGAGAGACAGTGGCGGACACAGGAAACTGACGGGCTGCAGCCCATGGACATGACTTAGTGACTGAACAAGTGACATTGAAAGTGTACTGAAAAGTACATAAGGAGCTATGCTTGATGACAATAAATACTGCAATGTGCAGGTGCAGGCATGAGCCCCTAGGCCTAACTCATTCATGAAAAGCTTCATCAGTGGGCCACCAGAACCAGTGCCTCAGAGTGGACACTCCACTACCAACTATACTGTGACAAGTACAAAACATTAAATCAAGATGTCACCAGTCCCCAGCCTAATCCTGCAGATGCAGGCATCCTAAACCCTAGCAAACAAACACCCACCACTTCATAAGAGGTATACAGCAAGCCACTCCATATAAATTTTACTTCCTAAGATTACATAGGCTACATTACACACTAAATTTTGACTATTTCATTGGTCATATATTTCAGTTGTGTCTGACTCTTTGCAACCCCATGGACTATAGTCCACCAGGCTCCTCTGTCCATGGGGATTCTCCAGACAAGAATACCACAGTGCGTTGCCATGCCCTTCTCCAGGGGATCTTCCAAACCCAGGGATCAAACCCAGGTCTCCCGCATTGCAGGCGGATTCTTTACCATCTCAGCCACCAGGAAAGCTCATGAAAATAATTTTTGTCAATTATAGTCTCAGTAAGTCTCAATGACCAAAAATTATTAAGAAAAACAACTCTCATCTCCGAATTGTATTCTGTAGGTTTCTATATCCATTGTTTACTTGGGAAGCAAATTTTCTCCAAACTATACATATATTAAAAAGCTTATTTAATATACAAAGGAATGGCCTTTAGGGCAAATCAATCACTAGTCTATTGCCTTCGGAGATGTTTGATTTAGCATAATGAAATGGTAAACAATTAGTAAAATGAAAATCAGAAATACTTACATCTGTATGAACAGACTTGGGTTCATTTGAATTCAGAATTGGGAGAACTTCCGGAAGCGAATTCACTCGCCTCCGAGTGCTCGGCTCCTGGATCTCCACTGAAGCAGTTATGGGAATGGGACGCAGTTTATCTCTGATGTTTTCCTGAAAAGAATGCAGAGACACAGTTAAAGCATGCTATAAACACTACTAGGGAACTCCAAAACAATGCTTTCCTTTGTCCTGGATACTGTGTTGCTAGTATTCATATAAAATGTCAAATCTACATGACAGAACTGATTTGTCTGCGGCCCTCACCTGGAGCCAGAGGGTTTCTTCCATGCATGCCTTCTGTTTCTGTCTGTTCAGAGTGAGCTCTTGCATATACTTGGGCTCAGAACCTTGGTTTCGAAACTGCACTCTTGACGACAGCCCAGATTTTCTTCTTTCCTTTTCAGCCTCCAGAGTGCCCACAATGGCTAGATGAAATCAACAAAACCACAGGAACTTAAAATGCACTCATACACAACACAGCTATAAGTATACTGAGTTCGTTTTTGATATATTTTAATTCCTCTTAGAACATTTTTTCTCATTGCCATGGTTTTCCTTCATATTTCCTGGCAATGTACATTCTGACTTATGATATTTCAAATCAAGCTGTCCTTTCCTGCCCATTACTGTGAACAATTTTTAAAGCTACATTTCCTTTGGGCCACGTGGGGGAGCTCGAGAATAAGTCAAAACCTCAGAGGCGTTAAGAATCAGTTTCACTGCATTTCAAGAACTCACAAGAGTATGACAGACAACAGGAGGGCAGCCAACCCTGCCGAAGGACCTAAACTGACTCCCTCTTCAACAGTCTGGTGCTTAAATTCCAAAAAGGCCTCTAGATCAACAGCAACTTCTCCTGTGTGGTGTCAGGAATGCAGATCGTCAGGCCCAACCAGACTACTGAACCCAAGGCTACATTTTAATAAGATTATCAGGTGGTTCTTACACACATTAAAGTACTCATAAAGAATAATTATCTAAAAGAGGAAAAACATATTAGAGATGGAGATGTCTTGACAATAGGATGAGACTTTTCACTTAAAAAAGATGAAGAATTTAAAGATAAAACATACTTCCTTTCGGTGGTTAGAGGGCCCCTTTGTCCATTAATAAAACTCCCAGAAGCAAGGTTTTCACTTCCAAAGCCCCAGAGGGCACATCCTACTTGTGATTACCTACACTGACAGAGCTCAGAGGCAAGCTAGGATTTGGATGATCAAAGTCTCATTTCTTAACTTCAGAATGCATTCTTTGCCAATTTGCTGGATATAGCTGATATGTTTTAATACTCAAATGACTTACATTTATTAATCACTCACTAACCATCTTTGAACTACAAGGATATCAAACCAGTCAACACTAAAGGAAATCAACACTGAATATCCACTGGAAGGACTGATACCGAAGCTGAAGCTCCAATACTTTGGCCACCTGATGCCAAGAGCCAACTCACTGCAAAAGACCCCAATGCTGGGAAAGACTGAGGGCAGTAGGAGATGGGGTGACAGATAATGAGATAGTTAAATGGCAACACTGAATCAATGGACATGAATTTGAGCAAACACTGAGAGACAGTGGAGGACAGAGGATCCGGGCACGCTACAGTCCATGGGGTTGGACTTGACTTGGTAACTGAACAACAACAAAAAACCATCAGAAGGGACTTTCCAGGTGGCTGCAATGTAGGTGACACAGGTTCGATCCTTGTGTTGGGAAGATCCCCTGGAAAAGGAAATGGCAATCCACTCTAGTATTCTTGCCTGGGAAATCCCATGGACCTGGCCTGGCAGGCTAAAGTCCATGGGGTCGCAAAAGAGAAGGTTATGACTTAGCAACTTAACAACAAAACCATCAGAAGGGAAAGCAAACCAGTGTGTACAGGGTCAGAGAAGCCAGCCTCAGGGAAAAAAGTCTGCTCCATAAAATGAATCCATGTTCTAATAGTTACATTAGAGTCTAATACCCTCTACTTACAGATGAAGAACTAGAGGCCCACAGAACAAGGTGACCAGCCCAGAGTCCTATAGCAAGAAATGGAGTCAGCTCATTTTGTATCACAAACACAAAAGGTGACTGCCTTTTAAAGCCTCTTAGATATGCAGGGTCCCACTGCCCCTAGGCTTCTGCCAGCTGGACCTCCCCACTCTTTTTCATTTTACCTCTCCTTCATTGCTGGGCTAACTCTACTCCTCAGATTTCAGTGTGGATGTTACTTCCTCCAGGAAGCTCTCCCGGCCCCTCCTGGGGGGTCTGACAGTATTCTATTTCTCTCATCACTACACTTAAGTCTGCTGCACTGTGAATGCCTGATCACTTTCCCAGGAAAAGCCGCTCCAGAGATCACCTCCAGCTGTTCACCATTGTATTCCCCAGCAACAGCACAACACCTGACGTAAACAGGATTAGTAGAATAGATGAATAAATGCATCAACACACACCCAATGCACATTTCCACGCACACACATACACTGTCATCATCCTTACGCTGAAACAATGGCTGTTCCCATGTGCAAAACCAAAATTTAGAAACAACAGTTTCAATAGTAATTTCTGTGTCCATCTGAAGAATTCTTAAATGTCATGGCTGCCAAATGGAATGCGCCTCCATTTTAGGCCCTCTGTGAGCCTTGACATCATCCATTTATCAGTGACCTGCTAACTTCACAATGAACCAGACGAAGGCTCACATGCTGAGTGCCCCTCATGGCAAAAGCAGGGGAGTGTGTGGGGGCATTAAAACCATTTATCTACCAAACCCTCTCCAACCTTTTCTGACCCTCCAGACAGTTCACATCATCTTAAAATCCTTGCCGGCCACCTTTGCTGACCTTTGCAGGGGCAAGCCAAGTAGAACAGTCATTAAGGCTCAATTATAAATATCTGTAAGTATGGAGCACTATACCCGAGGACTGCCGAGTTAAAACAGCTTAGCCGAACAATAAGCTCACACACTTGGACATGGGGAACAGATTTTAGATATATTAACTCTTGCAGCTTTGTGCAAGTTCTGCTTTATTTGAGTTAGAATTTCCCAATACCGTGGAAGCAATGGCAATGAAAACAGGCTTTCTTTCAATTTCTTCAGAGGATAAAAGTTCTTTCCATAGTGAAGTGAAAGTTGCTCAGTTGCGTCCAACTCTTTGCAACCCCATGGACTAAACAGTCCATGGAATTCTCCAGGCCAGAATACTGGAGTGGGTAGCCTTTCCCTTCTCCAGGGGAATCTTCCAACCCAAGGATTGAACCCAGGTCTCCCGCATTGCGGGTGGATTCTTCACCAGCTGAGCCGCAAGGGAAGCCCAATCTATAGTGGGCTATCCATAAACACTTGGTTAATGTAGGAGTAGTTACATAAAATTAATATACATGGCATCAAGGACAGCGTTTAAGCTAGAAGGAAGTTTGTAATTTATTTTGTATAAATGATTGATCTGAAGGAAGACAAGAAATGTTCTGATGAGATTTCACATCTTTGGCAAACAGTGTGGTTTGAGAAGATAACATGTTTCCTTTCCCTCTCCCTTTCCTGGTCTCTCTAGGATGCTTCCAGACACAATGGTAAAAGGCCCCACGAACCAAGCTGGCGAGTGTAAGGTACCACAGTTGGGTAAAAACAACACAAAATCTGAGAGGGTGAGAGACTGTAAGAAATCATAAAATATTTACTGAAAGCCACACAAAAAACAGTGTTTTCTCTACTCAATAAAATACCAGCTACTTCAAGAGCAAAGTGAAAGGCCACAGCTCCCCGGGGGGTGGAAAGTCCTAATACATGCACACCATACTGCAAGGTCTGCAGAGCTCATGGAGGGCCAATACAGCGGGAGGTGGCCCAGAAGAAAGGGCCTTAAAAAGTGAAGGAGATGAAGAAATCTCCTGAGGACGGCTTAAAATCTGGGAAGATGAAGGCCAAGTGGGTTTATGACAGCATGGATTGGGTGAAGGCAGACTTATTTATTTGTGAAGTTCTGAGATGCCATAAAGGGACATCTTTTCTTCATAAAGAAAAGAAATACTCAAGGTAACATGGAGAAGCCTTAAGAAAACTCGTTCCATCTCAAAGAGGAGGAAAAACTGAAAACCTTGAGAAGTACCCTGTCCTTCCAGACAGGTTTCCTTGGTGGCTCTGCTGCACTGGAACACCTAGCTGCTGGGACCACGGCTGACCCAGGAAGGAAATCACCCTCCCTCTGCACTTCCTCTTTGGGGAAAAGATGTCTTTAGATTCCTGGGCCCCCAGCTTTACTCTGGCTTACTCCTGAAGAGGTACAGCTGCTACTAAAACACATCAGAGAAGACCTCGGTGATCATCACTATTGTGAGAGCATCATTAAAAATTTGTCAAACCCTGTGGCAAAACTCCTGTCATTCTTATAAAAAAAACCAAAGTAGAATAAGACCTTATGAATGACAACCTGCTTCCACCACCTTGAAAAAGTGAAACTCAGGCGTGCCCAACTCTTTGCGACCCCATGGACTGTAGCCTGCCAGGCCACTATGTCCATGGAATTCTCCAGGTAAGAATACTGCAGTGGGTAGTGATTCCCTTCTCCAGGGGATCTTCCCAACCCAGGGATCAAACCTGGGTCTCCTGCATTGCAGGCAGATTCTTTACTGTCTCAGTCACCAGGGAAGCCCTTTCACCAGCTTATCTCATCTGAACTCTGCCATAATCCTATGTAGTTAACTCCCATCAGAGGCATTTATTTTTAATTGATAGGAAAATAAAAATTCAAACAATTATGGGGTTAGCTCTGTGTTGAAGCACTGGATCCAGGAGCAGAGCCCAAGTCTCTGAGTTCAAGCCCGGTCTTCAGGTCCCCCTGAGCCCACCCTCAGGGACATGGCATGGGTGTTCTGGACCACAGAGGCCTCTGGGAGGGGACCCAGCAGCGAAGAGACTACAAACTGACAATTTATTCAAGTAGGACTTGGGCGCCCGCGGTCACTCTTCTACAACTACCACCCGCCACCTCACAACCACAAAACCAATTTTCCACACTGCTTTTCAAAGACAGACATGGAGGAAATGGTTGTGGCAGCAAATGAGTACTTATCCAAGGCATTCATTCTGCCCTAAACCATCTGCTCTGGAAAATTCAAATGGGGACCAAATGCATTTTTTTCCTCTTGGGCTTCACCCTTCTGATTAAAAAGAAAATGACAGACAGACTTTAGTTCTTTAAGTCAGAATTTATGGACCCATGTTGGCCATTACAGTTTTGTTCTTCTAGTTAATTTATTCAGAACTTTTCAACCTGGCAGACAGAAAAGATCTAATTTCAGTTGATTTACTTTGTTGTACAGCAGACAGTAACGCAACAGTGTAAAGCAATTATACTCTAATTAAAGAAAATTAAGCAAAATAAAGGTGTTCAGATAAGCAAACAAAAAGTCCTAGGTACTTACTTATTGAAGGATTGTAACTGGTGGGCTTAGCAGTATATTCAAAACAGGCCTTAACCTTGAGGCTGTATAAAATCAAACACATAGTCATTAAGAAATGCCTTACTGCCCTGGAAAAAAAAAATCTCAACACGTTCCTCATCCTCATATCCCCCCAGTGATGACCGATAAGTAATAATGTCATATATCCACTTGACAAGATTCCTCTTCCCTTTTCCCCATTTCTCTTAATCTTCCCTGTGGCTCCTCAGGGCAACCGGGTCATCATAAAGCAGAGATATCAAACTGTGGGGGAAGAGTGGACACGGTGCAAATGCTCACCATATCCCACTAGGCGCCCCACAGAGCGTTTTCTGACGGAGATCAATTCTGTTAGGTGTTACTGTGATGGTTTGCTGAATATTAATCACAGGCCGGGATCTGAAGACAAAGGAGAAGACAAGCTCAGCCTTTTGCTATCTGGATGTGAGATGAACTCACATACTACACAGGCATCCTCAGATGCTGCATCTTAAAAACCACAGAAAAAACTCTGTTTCCCAATGTTATTCCCGCTCCCCTGTTGCTAAAGAAAACAGCTGTTAACAGACATAATTTAAAACATGATGATGTGGTATTTATAAAAATGTTTAAACATGACACATTCAAAATTATAAATTGTTTTATATTAATAATTTTAATGTTAATGGAGTTTTTAAACTGAAAGACTAATATGGGCAATATGTAAAAAGTTCCGTAGTTTCCAGGTGAATATGTCTCATCCCCACCCAAACTCTCAAGGAGCTCTGCATGTCCTTCCAGACATATCAGTCTGGTTCAATTAAAAAGACTATTTAAAATTAAATACAAAGCAAGCATTTCTTTTAAAGTGGGAGTTTTTCATGCTTATTGGTCTGCATGTTGCTCTTTGTCATTCACATTTCAGAGGTCTTCTCATATCTCTACACACAAATCTAGTTATTTCTCACAGATGGTGGTACTGCCTCTACCAATGGAACATCATTTATTCAACCAGTCCCTTAATCAGTGGACATTTATAATTTTGTAAGGCTTTCAGCTGAGAAACATCCTTGCATATACATCTATGTACATGTATGTGTCCTAAGTTCATACATCTGTTTATCTGTAGGATAAATTCTTAAGCAGAATTTTTGAGTCAAACAATATATGCATTTTTAATTCTGGGTAATCTTGCCCACCCTCCCCCCCAAAAAAGCTCCAAAAAGGTTATACCAACATACCTCTAACACCTAGGGTGCTCACTACCGGGATTTCCACACATATGTGAATTTTAGTAATCTAGGCAAGACCTGAACTTAAAAGTCCCCATTTTACAATATCTGAGCTTCCTGTCCTCCCTTGGACTCTCCTATCTCCAGCCTCACGTGCTTGCCAGTACTGACCACAATTTTTCTACCCCCACAATCTCTCTATAAGCAAAGCCTGGAATCCTTTATCCTTTCCTAACTCTGCCTTAACCCAACCTCACAGACACACAAGAAGCGGAATCCTACACCTTTAGCCCTTCTCACCATGTAAAAACATCATCTTTCTCCCTTATATGTTCTTCCTACCCGCCACAGCCAAAGGGGTCACAAAGGGCCTATGGCTTGATCCCTGCACCGCTGGCACAGAAATGCAAGGCTGTGGTGGCTGGGGCGAAAGCGCTGGGCAGACGGTACACCTCTCGCCTCTGTCACTCCCCACATGAACTCAGAGTGGCTTCTATGGTTCCATTCCCACAGGGATTCAGTCACACCGACTTCGGTGGGTTTGTGGTAAACCCAGCCATCCTGGAGAACAGTGTTCCACAGGAAAATGTATTTCAAATTCCAAACAGCTAGTCTGAACTTCTGGGATCAATCTATCTGTAGGCCAGATAGAGAGTGAGTACCTTCATGGGGAAGGCAGGAGCCAATAAAAGGGCAAATGATGCTCACATTTTTTTCATTTCCCTTTATTTTAATTGTTTATCTTTCTGTTGTTATTTTACATTGGAGACACTGCAGGTTTGGGTGCAGACCACAGCAATAAAGCAAAGATTGCAATAAAGGAGTCACTTGAATTTTTTGGTTTCCTAGTGCATAAAAGTTATGTTTACACTATACTGTAGTCTATTAAGTTGCAATGGAATTATGTCTAAAAAACAATGTACTTGCCTTAATTAAAAAATACTTTATTGCTTAAAAAAATGCTAATCAGCATCTGGGCCTTCAGGAGTTCATAGCAGTAATATCCAAGATCACCATAATTAGAATAATAATAAATGAAAAAGTTATAATAATAATAAATGAAAAATGTTACAAGAATTACCAAAATGTGACACAGAGACATGAAGTAAACACATGTTGGGAAAATGACACCTTGCCACAAGCCTTCAATTTTTAAAAACAAAACAAAACAAAAAAATCCCACAGTATCTGTGAAGTACAGTAAAACAAAGTGCAATAAAATGAGGTATGCCTGTAGGTATGTTTCTAAAGTTTTGAGAGCATATTTAGAAGACAAAAAGTTCATAAACGTTTTAATACCAGTTGCTACAGATGCTAGAGTGTTTTACATATAATAATAATAAGGCTTTGGTGCTGTATACACTTCAAAATAAATATTTTAACACACACTTCTGCCTAAATGCTGTTTTTAAACACACAATATACACAATTTTCAGAGCACATTATATATGGAATCATAAAAATGCATTTTAACACATAAAGCAAATCTTATTGCTCAGTTGTCTTGTGTTTAATTGGCATTTACTTATTAAGTATCATAGTAGTAGCATGATTTAGTGGAGACTGACATTGAGAAGATTTAGGTACCATGCCCTACTCTCACAGGATCCAGGCTCAAAAGCACAAGCAAGTCCTGGGCCTCTGTTCTTCTTATTTGTAAAATAGAGAAGTTATCTTGTTAGCAAAGGCTTTTGAAATTCATTTTCATACTACCTATGAGGAAAGAAGGAACATGTATACAGGATTCACAGTCAACCTACTTATGGGGACAGGAAATTAAGGGTATTAAAATATTAACTACATACAGATACAAATATTTAACGGGCTAAAGACAAGTTATCTCCTGGGAAAGTCTTGGGAACCAAATTTTGTTACAGGAATTCAAGTCTTCTTGACACCAGAGATATGTATTTCAAACTAGAACTTGAAGTTCAAATTGCTTTTTGATGGAAACAGCTAAAGTAATCGAATGTTATACTATACTCTTCTACCTTTTAAAAATGTTGACTATTTTAAGGTTAATACCTAACACATTAACAGAGAGAAACAGGCATACAAAGGCAGTAACAGACATTCATTCAAACTTTTTTTAAACTTCTTCCTTTGGCCTAATATTCCAGATACATTTTTCTCCACACTTTCACGTCTCCCACTTTGGCCATCTGTAAAGTCTCTTCTGGTTCTTAGCTTTCACATAAAATGCACATATATAAATGCACAGTATATTTTGTCTTTTTAAAAGTAGTATTCTCTTCAAAAGTATCCTGGTGTCATTTTATTATCACCAGGGGTTTTGGTTAGGATACTATTTTAGATATAGAGTCTACATCTATGCTTGGCATCCTTCCAGAAGAATATAGAGCAATGACGGTACCAAGTGTACACATGACATACAGATTATTTTTCATTTACGGTTTCGCTGTACCTCGCTGCCCATTTCTTTGATGAGATTCTTTAGATAAAAATGACTATAAAGCCAAGTAGTTTTTTTTAAAACAAACAAAACCCAAATGGTTCATTTTCACCAATGATCAAAGAATTGCAAATTCAATCAAAAGATGAGATCACACCACAGTGGCAAAAATTAAATAGATTCATCCTGTTGGGTGTCAGTAAAGGTGTGAGAAAATGGGCCCTCTGGTAGGTTGCTGCTGTGAGCATAAATTGCTACAACTTTTCTGTGGGTATATGTATGAATAAGAGTTTCCCAGGTGGCTCAGTGGTTAAGAATCCATCTAGCTGCCAATACATGAGATGAGGGTTCAATCCCTGGGTCAGGAAAATCCCCTGGAGGAGGAAATGACTACTCACTCCAGTATTCTTGTCTTGGAAATCCCATGGACAGGGGAGCCTGGCAGGCTGCAGTCCATGTGGTTGGAGCCAGAGACTGACTGAGTACACATACACACACATGATGAATAAAAAAATGTGCTAACCTTGATCCCAGGAATTCTATTTATAGGAATTTTTCTTAAAAAAAAATCCATTACATGGAGATATATATATATATATATACACACACACACACATTACACTATCTAACACACTGTTTATAATAGCTAAAAGTCACAGACTATCTAAAAATTCCATCAACCAAGGACTCATTAAATGCATATTATGGAAAAACATTGAGATTTTAAAAAGAATAAGATTGATATATCTGTATTAACAAGGAGAGAAAATGGAAGAGGTTAATTTTTACAAACCAGAATAGAGGACAGCAGTTATAGTATAGCTGTTTGATGACACCCTAGAAGTGGAGAGAGACTCAAAACTATTAAAAGTTGTTTGATGGAAAGAAAGAATATTGGAAAACTTGCACTTAACTGCAATTCTGTATTAACCTTTTTTAAAAAAACAAAAAAAGAATGTGCTACTTTTTAAATTAAAAAATGTTTTGCACAATTTTTCCTGGCAATTTCCAGCAGTGATGGAATTGTTGGGATAAGGCCACTGAGACACAGCTATGGGCAAAGCACTGCAGCCTTTCTGGAGATCATTTTGGTTGAAGGAATCATGAGTCCTAAAACACACATGCCCTTCAACTTTGCAACTCACTTTAGGAAGTTATCGTAAGGAAATAATCTAGGACACAAAGAAAAGTAAGGATGCTTACCAGCTTTGTGTATCTAGGAAGCAAACCACCAAACCTGGAAAGCAACCTAACTGTCCAATGACAGGATGACAGTATAGCAGTTGTTAAATAAACTATGACCCCAAATAAACAACCCAAAAGTTGTTAAATAAACACATGACCCATGTGATGTCTCAGACAACCATTAACTTCATTTCAGAAAAGTACTCAACGACAGGGAAATAACCCACTTTGCATCATACTCACTCTCCAGAAAAAGGCCACTATTCATTACAAACCAGCAAAAGTAGGTTACAAAACTATATGTACATTACAATATCAATTCTGTTAAACATACATGTATATTTACACAAAAAAACCTAGAAGGATATAAACCAAAATTTTGGAGTTTCTTAATGGATGGTAAAATACAGTACATTCATTTCCTTCTTTAAATTCTTTACACAGTCAAATTCTTTGTTTCAATTTTTATAAATGTAAAGGTAAAAAATTTCCACCAGTTCTGATCTTTTTAAAAAATTAGTTCAAAATTATACCAAGACTTTACAAAATAGGTTTTTATTACATCGTTGTACTACTCTCAAGAGAAAAAAATATTCAAAACTCATAAAAGACTTCACCTTTAAAGTACAGTGGTTACAAATTTCAATTCAAAAGGTAAAAAAAAACAAACAAAACCTCTAGTGTAAGTAGATTTAACAAACAAGCTTAAAGCAAGAGATTACATACCTGAAAATAGTTACCGAATCTGAGAGGGAACCAACAGCAACATCAGGGTAGGAATTTCTATCAAGGTCCATGTTTCCAGCAATTGAATATCCAAAAAAAGGTGATTTACCCTCAAGAACCTGAAAGGAACAGGGCATCAGAATGGACACCTGGCTACTAAAATAAGGCTTTTATTTATGCTTTGAAGATAAATCTCTTTTGAACTGAAGTTAAAGAGTTTACTTACAAATTATATTAAATCACAACTGACTTATAAATAAGTATACACATGATCAAACATTTCATGCATTTTATTTTCACAAAAGTTACCTGATTTATGTTGTATCTCAAAAGACAGAAGAGAAGTTTTGATAACCTTATGTACTATGTTAAGTCAATCAGTGTACTATATTGTCAATCAGTGTATTTCAAACCAAACTTCTCTTCCTGCCCTCCAAATGTCTTATTTTCCTCTAAAGAAATTTTTAGATTTTGGTATCTGAATTCTCTATGCAATTACAATCCTCTCTTATGTTTGTCCAGTTTCATCCCTTCTTAATATGCTACTAAAGGGAATGTATGACATTCTACTTCTTTATGCTGTCAGAGTCGAAGAGTCTTTTCCTTTAGCTTAGTTTGATTCTTAATTTACCAAAGAAATTTTACAATTTAAAACAAGCAGCTTATTGCATTTAAATCTATTTACAAGTTATTTTCAAATACATTTTTTATAAAACCAAAGTTCATACTATTGTAAACTTGTAAGTAACATATGATTAGTGTGAAAATTCACATAAACCTAAACAATCCATTGGAAAGAAAATTATTGAGACCTTAACTGTAGAAATCCAAGTTATCTGGTTACCTGTGTTGGTTTGGTATTTATTCCATTCGCAGATCCATGATAGATAAAAACCTTCCCCTTACCATCATAGGGTGCTCCAACTGCAATATCTGTTAACAACACCACATTTTAACAAACGTCACATTTTAAAAGCATTCCAATACAATATTTTAAAATACGTCATGACACGTGTACCCCAATGTTCATAGCAGCAGTGTTTATAATAGCCAGGACATGGAAGCAACCTAGATGCCCATCAGCAGACGAATGGATAAGAAAGCTGTGGTACATATACACAATGGAATATTACTCAGTCATTAAAAAGAATACATTTGAATCAGTTCTAATGAGATGGATAAAACTGGAGCCCGTTACACAGAGTGAAGTAAGCCAGAAAGAAAAACACCAATACAGTATACTAATGCATATATATGGAATTTAGAAAGATGGTAATGATAACCCTATATGCAAGACAGAAAAAGAGACACAGATGTATATAACAGACTTTTGGACTATATGGGAGAAGGCGAGGATGGGATGATCTGAGAGAACAGCATCGAAACATGTATATTATCAAGTGTGAAACAGATCGCCAGTCCAGGTTGGATGCATGAGACAAGTGCTCAGGGCTGGTGCACTGGGAAGACCCAGAGGGATGGGGATGGGGAACACATGTAAATCCATGGCTGATTCATGTCAATGTATGGCAAAAACCACTATAATATTGTAAAGTAATTAGCCTCCAACTAATAAAAATAAATGGAAAAAAAATAAAAATAATACAAATTAAAAAAATAATAAAATGCAAATACTCCCAAGAAAAAATTAAAAAAAATAAAATATGTCATGAGCACTCACTATTTTAGACAATCACATAATCCATAAATCATGACCATTTCACAATCTATTGTCTACCTGGGTAGCCATCTTGATTAATATCACCAATATTTTTGACTGCAATGCCAAACATAGAATCTTTGGTTCCATTAAGACGAATTGGCTTGACGTTATTCCATCTGCCTTGCTGGTTAATGTAGACATACGCTGCACCTCCAACTTCTCCACTTCTATCAAAATACTGTGGGGCTCCAATAACTATATCTTGCCATCTGAAAACATAATGAGGGGAAGAACTGTGAACCACTGGCCAAAATATCAGCAAGCTTAGGGAGAATCACACATGAACAGGTACTAAGGACACAAAGAGATATGATAAAAAGAACCTCAAATCTGGAATTTATATCTCATCTCCCTAGTTTTTTTTTAAACTAGGTAGTCTCTAATAACACCCAAATGAAAACATCAACGGTAAGAACTTGAAGCCAGTTTCCAAGTTATATCTATAGTGCAGAGAGACTCCCAGTAAAGATTCTACTCCCTTCCACCTTCAACCTTCTACCAAAGACCCAGATTGGCACCACCAACCAGAGACCTTTGTATCGACTTTGTCACCAATCCCTACTTTCAACAGGACATTCTGGCTGCTCCAATATCCCCTTAAGAAACCACAGAATAGAACCACATAGGTGTCATTTTTTTTTAGTTAAATTTTAATTCTCACAGACCCATGATTCTAGGACAGAGTAAAAACTGAAGACTGAAAATGTAATCCTACATCCTAGGGAGGGTAATGAATGTCTGCTACCAAAATATAAGTAAGGAAGACTGATGGGATGGTAAAAATTTGGCAGCAGAAATATTCTTTCCATCAACTAACCTGGAAGGGTATTTCTTCTCAAGACCTATAGAAGCCAGAGCAGCAATCAGTTCTTTGCAAATGTAAAATAACCTCAGAGGCTCTTACCCATCTTTGTTGAGGTCCACCACTGCAACGTCATAGCCAAATGAAGAAGCCAGCCCTTCCCCATCAAATATGTGCTCAGGGAGAAGGTGTGCAGACTTCAGGTCTCTTTTAAGCAAAACCACAGCTCCACTATGATTGGCTCTAGGAGCACCAGATACAAAAGTGATCTCATCTTTGGAAACAATACCTTTCCCTGAGTCCAAAGAAAAGCCTAGAAAAACAAAACATGGTACTTATCAACTCTGTTTTTCAGGAGGTATCTAACACTGGTTACTTCATCACTACCTTTCATTTCCCACCACTCTCCCTCTGACCCTCCCCAACAGCTATCATATCTCTGATAAGAGTTACAGAACCAGATCTGACTCAAGCACAAAATAGTAGGTATTTCCCTGTTTTCTACAGGCGTACATTAAATATATTAAGACATTTAAAGAAAAGTACCTGTGCTAGTTAGCACTTTTGTAACTTCAATCATGAAGCATACATGCTACTTAAGAATCAGTTCAAACTCCATTCCAATACTGAAACTGCTGTAAAAGGAAATCAAGCTAGATACTAAATCATCAAGGGAAAGTTACATCCTGTACACCAAGATGCAACCTGACATAGCATAATTGAGTGCCTCTGGGTTTTGCTATAATGCAGTGATTAGTAACTTCTATATTCATCAATCTCCTTGGTCATCAGGCAATAAAAGAATGCTAACAATATTAATATACCACAGCCAGCATTTTACTCCTTAGGGCCAACTTAGTTCTCAGACACAAACATGCAAACAAAACCATGACTGATGAGATTTGAGAACCTAGCGTAAACAATAGAGGTGAGCAAGTTGTCATCTGTATCAATTACACACTTGTTCAGAGGGCAGAAAAACATTAGAAACCTCATTATAAAGCATCAGGTAGGATGTCAGATTACCAATACTGAGGTTAAATGCCAAGCAGACACAAATGTCCACACATCAAAATTGTCCGAATAAAGCAAATCTTCCTGTGTAAAGACGAGGCAGATGCAGAATACTATAAGCTCACCCTTTTAACTGGGTTTTATTTATGAAAAGCATCACCACTACTGTTGCAGTTCTCAAATTGTGAAGCTAGTTGAAAAATAGGATGAGCTACAAGTTTAGAAAGGAGACACACTGGAATCCAGCTCTGGAAGCCACTCTGGCTGCAGAACCTCAACCGCGGCATGCTTTTTGTGTGTGCTTCACTTGAAATGAAATAGAAAATAAAAAGATTTATGCTCTGTATGGATCAAAAAAAGAATTCTTAAATGACCATGACCAAGACCATTTATTTGTCATCTCAGAGGTCACAAACCTAGGTAGCTATTCATCATCACATCAGGGGATGTGTCGGGCCGCTCCCTGGGAGGCTGTGTTTTATAAACAAACTGATCGGGATCTGTATAGGAAACGCTGGTCAAAAACAGCAGGCCTGTACACACGCACGGGACGGAAGAGATTGAAGAAAAAGCAATTATGCTTGGTAAGAGGCACACCGGCTACTGCCGGGCTTGCAATGACGAGGCCACTGCTGCATCCGGCAAGCCACCCTCTTTGCCAGCTTCCAAACCTCATGCAGATCATTTTCCTCCTAAAACCTGCTGATTTTTTTGAAATGACAGATGCACAGACAGCCAAAATGTAACAGTAGAAACGTGACACTATTCTCCCCACCCCAACCCAGTATCCACTTTTGAGGAAATCCATTCTGAAAGTGGCAAATGTGTTTAATAAAAAAAGTTCAGTAGTTTCAAATGTTCCAGTAGACACTAAGATAAAATCCATAGGCATCTATCTTACAAACCAAAGTGTTGGCTTCTTGACCAGAGCCATTAAATTGAAATGGCATAAACTAATCCCTAAGTAACTCATTTGAAGAGGTTGTCTGTTAAAATTTATTCAAATAAAATATTGATTTATTGATAACATTTACCTTGAAAAGAATTTTACCCTGGAAAATCCTATTAAATAATTGAGACTGCAAACCACTCAGCCCTGTGTTCCCCTCCTGTCCTGCAAAGCCACTGACAGCATTCACATACCCAGCTGATTCCCACCCTGTCCCAATCATTTTCATGAGCATTTCTTCCCTTGGCTGGGGGATTATTAATTGTGTGACCTTGGACTAGGAAATTCATTTCCCTCAGTCACAGCAATTTTTCCCCCCATCAGCAAAACGAAAATAATACTTATTTTATAATATAGTTGGAAAGAACAAATAAGACCTATAAAGTAGTAAGTAATAGTGTGTGATTTATAGTTGGAAAGAACAAATAAGACCTATAAAGTAGTAAGTAATCGTGTGTGATTTATAGTATACGGTAGGTGCTTAACAAGTGGTTAAGTATAAGTTTTCTCCGTTCTATGTCTTCACACCAAGTTTTTAATTTAGGGTTGGGGGAGTTTCTGAAAAGTTTTTTTTAATTAACAGTATTGTTCATACATATCTATATAATTAGAATAATTTTTAAAGAATATGTTTACTAATACCTTGTTTATAATTATTTTTAGATCTACACCGATTTTTTCCCCCTTTTTAACCTTCCATTGTTCTAGTAAGATCTCCAGCATATGGTACTCCTCTATTTTTTAAAAAGAATAGGATACTATTTAGATTTAGTAGATTTTTTACATTTTTTTCCAAGAATTACACAGTAATTATTCTTTATGTCAACTCATACCAAGAATTAAAGCTTTTAAAAGCCTTTGTGTAATTACCATAATGCACATGAATAATTTAGGACACCCATTAGTAACGCAAGCAAGCGTTAGGAGTTAAGGAATTGACACTTAGACCACTATCTGGGTGTCCTCGGAGCTGCTTTAGCAGTGCGGCTCTGGCTCGGCTGGAGAGGCCCCATGCCGCCCGCCAGGGGCCTTGTGACAAGCCAGAAGCAAGGCCAGCCGTTGGAGAAGGGGATGGACCTGGAGGTCTTAACCTGCCACGTAAGAGTAACTTTATAAATGCAGCTCTTCAAGAGCATCTCTCCAAAAAGAGGCACTGAAGGGAGGGGGAAGACGACTCGGCCTCTTGCTTACATCCATGCACTGTGTCACGGCTGTGTGGACCGCCTGGTGCGGGTTACAGAAGTGGACGTTAGCTCAGGAAACAGACCTCCAGGCAGGAGGACAGAAGATTTTAGGAGACGGTAGGTTTCCTCCTGCTTTGAGGCAGCTCAGGTCAGATACCCCAAAGTATCAGTCAGACTAAATCAGGGATCACCAAGCTTTAAATTCCAGTAAATGAAGCCACAGCCCCCAGGTCCAATCTGGCCTTTTCTCAGCCTCACAGTCCAGGGTCCTGTGACAGCAGTGTCTCACAGAGGCATCTGAAGAGGTAGGCATGTCATCTACTCTCGTTCCTACCTAAATAACTGTTAGCAGGAACAGGAACTAGACTTTCATCATGGTCAGTCTCTCCACCAACTTCATAAGGCCCATCTTCAAAGATGTTCATGTCAAAAAAAGTGTTATTCTTTTGCTCTACGCGAACAATCCCTAAAAGAATGAAATGGTAAAAAAGAAAAAAAAAAATGAAGATGAAACAAAATAAAATAGATGGTCCTAATAAACATTCCTGATATTATCATTAAGTTCAGAAAGAAAAGTTTGGAGGAACAAAAGGCAGAAGATGACTTTTGAGGTTATTAAAGTTAAAAAATCCTGTTTGTGTAGATTTTTACATCAAACAAAATTGCTTTAGCAATTAAAAAAATGCCCACGTGTTTTCATGAATTATCTTTATAATGCCATGAAAATGGAATTATAGATGGAAAATGGAATGTTAAATTAACTAAACCTACAGAAAACTTTTTATGAACCTGATATATTTTACATTTTCTATAATCCTAAATCAATTTACCTTCTTTACTATGGTGTGAAAGCGAGATTAGTATTTTGATATTTTCTTCCAATAATTTTTAACCAGAGATTTTTAAATCTTCAAAAAATTTTCAGACCTAATCATTGAAAAGAGAAGATCTCACATAGTAAGTCCACTATATGGTTTTTTTAAGCGGTAACATTTTAAGACAGCATTTACAAAGCAGGCAAGATGTATTTCCCACAAATTAAAACATACATAATTGGTGGGTGTTTTTATTTTGTTTTACTATGTATGGCATCTCTTGCTAAAATAAAACTCTTTCTAAATTCAGCGTGTTATTAGGTCAAGATAACCCAACAAATACTGCCATGTGGAAGCTTCAGCTAAGGGTGGGTAGTCTAAGAAAATCATTCCCAAAGGTTGCTATGAATGACACCCAGGAAGGTATTCAAGGACCATTCCTAACACAAATTAAAACTCAGAAATTTTTGAATGAACAATGGAAAATTTTCCTAAGATTTTTCTGACTATAGAAAATATTAGAACATAGGATTTATCATAATAAATTTCTCCCCAAAAAATCTTATTTCTGAATCAGATGTAATTCTCTTCACTATGAATTAGAATCAGGTAAACTGTCCTTCATAATAGAGTGGTTTTCTATACCTGCTTAATTTTGTCAGAAGTTGAACTCTTATCACAGGGGCACTGACCATGTTCCTCTAGGCAAAAATGCGATGTCACCCTTCACCTACATCTCGAGATTATTTAAACTATACCATTCAACAACCTTTCCACCAGTTATCTGCAATCATCTCAAAATTTCCTAATTTCTCATCTGTCTTTCTAACTACCCTGCTTTATTAGCAAAACATAGCCCGAGTAATACATGACTAAACAAATGTCTGTATCAATACAATATTATTTGTATACATCACCACTCAATTCTTCTCAGTTTTCAGATCCCCATGTTAAAATTAAAACTTTCAGTTTCATGACACAAGCAAATACAAAACAGCAAAAACTAATGCTACTATATTTTTACAAAAGGAAGTTAAGTAGTTATATGAATGTAAATTGCTGGCAGAGGGAAAAACAGAACATACATTTTGACGATTGTTTTTAAAAATCAGAATTAAGATATTTTAATAATCCTACTCTACTTCTATAGTATAAAAATGCCTTATAATATATTCTGTTTTAATTTAAAACATACTAAACCATGGTGCATAGGAAGAAATTATGCAGTCATTCTAATCTCCATGTCTATAAATACACAACATACCTTTCCAGTTATAAGTCCCTGGGGCTCCAAACGCAATGTAATGGAAGTCTTTAGTAAAAGTAGCTGCTACACCTTGCTGGCAAGAACCAAATTTTTCATGACCTCTCAATCGGCCATCACAAAAACTCCAGTCTCCTCCATCCATATCATCTTCAATCCTGAGATTCTGACTTAGGACGTAGCACCTTCCAAAGATGTCTCGGGATTCCTGCTTCGTATTAACATGTTGTCTTTTTTCATATCGATGTGCACACGTCTGCAAGCAAATGAATAAAGTAGCCCACATGTGTTGGCAAACCTGAAGTTCTTCATTACAAACCAATGAAATTATCAACAATCAAGAGGTTAATTCTAAATGGGATGTTAAATGTGTCCTCATCCTAAGACCAGGCTAGAAAACCAGCAAATCTTCCCCAAAGTTGCAAGAAGGAGACCATTATCTAGCACAGGACTTCTCTCTTATCGTCACCCAGAGAATAATGTTGCAGTCTAAATACTGAAGGCCAATCTATAATCTCCTGGAGAAGGAAATGGTAACCCACTCCAGTATTCTTGCCTGGGAAATGCTATGGACAGAGGAGCCTGGCAGGCAACAGCCCATGTGGTCGCAGAAGAGTTGGATATGACTTAGTGGGACTTCCCAGGTGGCACCAGTAATAAAGAACCTGCCTGCTATGCAGGAAACGTAGAGATGCAGGTTTGATCCCTGGGTCAGGAGGATTCCCTGGAGGGCATGGCAACCCACTCTAGTATTCTTGCCTGGAGAATCCCATGGACAAAGGAGCCTGGCAGGCTACAGTCCACAGGGTTGCACACGACTGAAGCAACTTAGCACACATGCACACACATGATTCAGTGTTTAAACAACAATCTGCAATTCACAGGCAATTTATTTGTAAATTTACCTGTCACATAAACAATGGGAAACACCTTATTTTACCTTCTCAATTTAATTGGCCGTTAGTGGCTACATTAAACCTTTATATCAGTATGTTCATGAAAAGAAGGAACATGTTCCAGGAGACAAACATGGACATATTTTCACAGGAATTGGGCTAAAACAAAGGCATTTTCCTTTTATCCATACTATTTCCTCATAATCAATCCTATCTTAACTTATCCTTTAAACTCTGAGATTAAGTTTATTTTAAAAGGCAAAGAGCAGCCTTTTAAAATTTTGGCAGAGAAAAATCATACTGCCAGAGAGACGAAATAAACTCTAATTTTCACATATGGGTATTCATGGCCACCCTCCATATAACACAGACTGAAAATACTTTACAGTGTCCAAGTCAATATCCTATAATGCATCTCCTTAGATGTAAAAATTCAATACTTGGTAAAATTCTCATTTTTCCCAAAATTCTACATAAATTTGTTACAGAAAGATCATCGTGATCCAGTCTGGCACCTCCAAGGCCACCTAAAACATTCCATCAAACAACCCTTTTTTCTCAGCTACCACTTCTATCAGAAGTAGCCCAGAAAATAAAAAGTTTAAAATGATCTGATCCTTACTTTGCATGACCATTCCCATATTTTTGTAACTCATCTATAATAGCTGCATAATTCCTAGGACAAAAACCATGGAAGGTTTTGCTTTGGTTTTTCAAGACTACCTCAAGTTGTAGGGACATTCAGTAAAGGTTTTTAAGTAAGTTTTTTGGATCTGAACATTCTAAGGAAAAGCAGGTTGTAGAGTTGTTTCAAAGTAAATCAGGAATCACAGAAAAAGTAATGGTTTGATTTCCTCTTGACATCAATTCCTGCTGTATAGCAATCCGTTTTCTAGAATGTACTCTCCAGGCAGGCAGAAGCTGTCTATTCTGTTCACTGCTATAAGCCCAGCACCAGCACACAATAGGCACTCAGTGCGGAATGGACCCATCTCTCTATACTTACCACGACTTTGCCGCCCGGCCCCTGGCTTTGGACAGTGACTCCCATCCACTGATCTTCCTTGCTTTCCAATGAAGGGTCAGCTGCGGAGAAAGCAGCACAGGTCAGTCACACACACACACACACACACACACATACAGCAGCACAGGTCAGACACACACACACACACACACACAGCAGCACAGGTCAGACACACACACACACACACACAGCAGCACAAGTCAGACACACACACACACACACAGCAGCACAAGTCAGACACACACACACACACACAGCAGCACAAGTCAGACACACACACACACACACACACACACAGCAGCACAGGTCAGACACACACACACACACACACACACAGCAGCACAGGTCAGACACACACACACACAGCAGCACAGGTCAGACACACACACACACACACAGCAGCACAGGTCAGACACACACACACACACACACAGCAGCACAAGTCAGACACACACACACACACAGCAGCACAAGTCAGACACACACACACACACACACACACACACAGCAGCACAAGTCAGACACACACACACACACACAGCAGCACAGGTCAGACACACACACACACACACACACAGCAGCACAGGTCAGACACACACACACACACACACACACACAGCAGCACAGGTCAGACACACACACACACAGCAGCACAGGTCAGACACACACACACACACAGCAGCACAAGTCAGACACACACACACACACACACACACACAGCAGCACAAGTCAGACACACACACACACACAGCAGCACAGGTCAGACACACACACACACAGCAGCACAGGTCAGACACACACACACACACACACACACAGCAGCACAGGTCAGACACACACACACACACACAGCAGCACAGGTCAGACACACACACACACACACAGCAGCACAAGTCAGACACACACACACACACACAGCAGCACAGGTCAGACACACACACACACACACACACAGCAGCACAGGTCAGACACACACACACACAGCAGCACAGGTCAGACACACACACACACACACACACAGCAGCACAGGTCAGACACACACACACACAGCAGCACAGGTCAGACACACACACACACACACACAGCAGCACAGGTCAGACACACACACACACACACACACAGCAGCACAGGTCAGACACACACACACACAGCAGCACAGGTCAGACACACACACACACACACACAGCAGCACAGGTCAGACACACACACACACACAGCAGCACAGGTCAGACACACACACACACACACACACACACAGCAGCACAGGTCAGACACACACACACACACACAGCAGCACAAGTCAGACACACACACACACAGCAGCACAGGTCAGACACACACACACACACAGCAGCACAGGTCAGACACACACACACACACAGCAGCACAGGTCAGACACACACACACACAGCAGCACAGGTCAGACACACACACACACACAGCAGCACAGGTCAGACACACACACACACACACAGCAGCACAGGTCAGACACACACACACACACACAGCAGCACAGGTCAGACACACACACACACACACACAGCAGCACAAGTCAGACACACACACACACACACACACACACACAGCAGCACAAGTCAGACACACACACACACACACACACACAGCAGCACAGGTCAGACACACACACACACACAGCAGCACAGGTCAGACACACACACACACAGCAGCACAGGTCAGACACACACACACACACACACAGCAGCACAGGTCAGACACACACACACACACACACACACACACAGCAGCACAGGTCAGACACACACACACACACACACAGCAGCACAGGTCAGACACACACACACACACACACACACACACACACACACACACACACACACACACACACACACACACACACACACACACACACACCTAGGACTTCAAAGCTACTGCAACAGGCCATGAACCAAAAGAGCAGAAACAGCTTCTCAACTGCCTTGACTCCAAGTCTAACTACTTAGTAAGTGCAGTTACTCAATCCATAAAAATTACTTTCCATCTTAAGAAAACAGCTGAGTGGTTATTGGTATGAATGTTTCACCAAATTCTTTACATAAAATATGTAATTCTACCTGGTGGCCCTTCACCTTGTCTGACACCCAGAGTCCCAAGTACAGAAATGACCATCCAAACTAACAAAAAGGGAGTTACTTCTCTACATACCCTCAAATTTGTTACGTAATTGCATGAACTTTGCTTTTCTTTACTGGAGATGGGAAAACAAGGCCTCGGATTCACTTTATATCTTTCTATCGATGAAAAAAACTAAAGTGATATATTTATTTTTACCTCTTCCTTCCAAAAAGGAGAGAGGGAAACCAAAAATCTCACCGTGTGCTCTTCAGTATCAATTTGAGCCTACTGTATAACCTTACATCCAAAATTTTGCCTTCCTTAACGAGAAGGCAGGCATGATTTTCAATTTTAAATCATTACAAAAACATGAAAATTAAACAATTTTAGGTGAGCAGAAGGAAAAATGCCAAAATATTAAGTAAATATTATCGGTGGGTTTGGGTTTTTTTCTTTATAGTTCAATGTCATTTACAGATTTCTCACAATTAACATATATTATTTTCCAATCAGCTAAAAAAAAAAAAAAAGTTGTGCTAAAAAGATTAAAAAAAAAAACAAGAGAAGAACATAAACACGAAGCTGCAAATCTGCGTCAACCAAGAATGTCAAATTAGGTTTGGTTACAGCTTCTCAGGTCACTAATTGCTCTGCCCACCACAGTCTGTACAAAACAAGCCTCCATCTGAGATAGTTGGAAAAATGTATCCATGTTGTCCAGCTCTCATTTTAGAGAGATCTTATATTTAACAGTATTTCTCCCTAATATTTTAACAGCAAATGAGCACTTTTGGCTGCTGAGTACAGGATACACGTTCAATTTTCTGAACAATTTTTCAACCATCTCCTGTAGAACCTCAATACATCACTAGGTGGCAACATTGATACACCATACCAGTTTGGAAACCAGGGTTGGGGAGACAGCAAAACGGGGCAGGCAAAGCGACTTAAAAAGTAAACGTTCTCAGGGCAAGCAAGAAACAGTCAAGGGCCATGCAATTAGGAGAGGCCTTCTCCCCAAGAATAAATGCTTTTTCCCCCTCTTTCCTTCCTCTTGGGAAGGGCAAGTGGGATACAGGTTGAGTTGGCCAAGGGAAGACTGAGCAAGTGCGGAAGAACACACCGTCGTTATCAAACTCAACTCGCGTGCACGGCCCCCGGGATGTGATGTCGCAGCTATACAAGCCTCCGGTTCTGTTGGCCTTCTGCCGCGGGAGGGCCACCGCGCGGGGCGCCCCCACCAGCAATCTGTGGGCAAAACAGAGAATTTGGAGATTTGAGCTGAATGTGCATTTAACATTCAGAGTCAGAGCCAAGGGATACTGGAATTATTCTCTGTCAAAAAGTCGCCTAAGTCTCCGCCAGAACACGGACAGAGCCCTGGGACACAAACAAAGATGCAAGTAAAGCACAAGAAACGGGGTTGTTGAAACAGGTGAACGATAGGCCCGTCTCTCACAGTACCAGCGCTCTGCCGGGACGCGTCTGCTGTTTTAAGAAGACGCTTTCCGCAGAGCTTGCCCCCTACACCTAAGCCAGGACATCCCAAGGAACTCAGACAAAACAAACACTCCCTCACTGGGGGAGAAAAACGGCCACACTAAACTGAAATGATAATACATCTGTTTCTAACACTGTGTCTTCTTAGGGTGGGGGTGGCAGGATTCAAAGGTGATTTTTTAATATCCCCCAGATTTTCAGTTTATATACTGTTTAGTTGATTAAACCAGGCGGCCACTGGACTGAGGCGGGTCTAAGGCTATGGCAGCCTATGGAAGCAAACTGAAATCTCAGCCTGTAAGTATCTCAAGGTTACAAAAGCAAACCCAAGGGCAACCGATCGCAAACAGGCACCCACACGGTAAGCCAATCGAATCATTTCCTCGCTTTGCTTCCTTGCTGTCCTTACTTTCGGTGTCTTTCCCTGCTCCTGCTGGTTCAACACTGCCAGGTTTGCACTGATTTCTGCTCAAATAAACTCATCAAGTTTTTAATATGCCTCAGTTTACCTTGTAACAATACAGATTTGGAACCAAATCTTTGCCCGAGACACAACTCGACCGAATTACTGTTTTGTAGCCTCTTTCTGCATCAATTCTCACTTTCTGGCGCATGGTCATCTTGACAAATTCCTCTTCTATCATCCAATCAGTATCCACCAAGGACTCAGAGATGGTCTGAGCGTACCTTCTATGCAGTAGGCACCACAATGTTCCCTCCCCCCTCCCACCTCAGAGTTCTTGCCATCTCCAGTAAGAGAGGCTCCTAAGCTAAACCCATAATCCTTAAAAGCTCACTGCTTCTCAGCCAATGGGATCTTTAAAGACCCACTATCTTTCTGCTCTGCTCTTTTGCTAATGTCTTTTTTCTTTTTTTAATTGAAGGGTAATTGCTTTACAGAATTTTGTTGTTTTCTGTCAAACCTCAACAGGAATCAGCCATAGGTATACATATATCCCCTCCCTTTTGAACCTCCGTCCTATCTCCCTCCCCACCCAACCCCTCTAGATTGATACAGAGCCCTGTTTGAGTTTTCTGAGCCACACAGCAAATTCCTGTTGGCTATCTATCTTACATGTGGTAATGTAAGTTTCCATGTTACTCTTTCCACACATCGCACCCTCTCCTCCCTTCTCCCCATGTCCATAAGTCTATTCTCTATGTCTGTTTCTCCATTGCTGCCCTGAAAATAAATTCTTCAGAATCATTTTTCTAGATTCCATATATGTGCATTAGAATATGATATTTATCTTTCTCTTTCTGACTCACTTCACTCTGTATGATAGGTTCTAGGTTCATCCACCTCATCAGAACTGACTCAAAAGTGTTCCTTTTTATGGCTGAGTAGTATTCTATTGTGTATATGCACCACTACTTCTTTATCCATTCATCAGTCATGGACATCTAGGTTGCTTCCATGTTCTAGCTATTGTAAATAGTGCTGCAATGAACAATGGGATACATGTGTCTTTTTCAGCCCTGGTTTCCTCAGGGTATATGCCTAGGAGTGGGATTGCTGGGTCATGTGGTGGTTTTATTCCTAGTTTTTTAAGGAATCTCCATACCATCTTCCATAGTGACTGTATCAATTTACATTCCCACCAACAGTGCAAGAATGGTTTCCTTTTCTCCACACCCTCTCAGCATTTATTGTTTGTAGACTTTTTGATGATGGCCATTCTGACCAGTGTGAGGTGATATCTCATTGTGGTTTTGATTTGCATTTCTCTAGTAATGACCAATGTTGAACATCTTTTCATGTGTTTATTAGCCATCTGTAAGTTTCTTTGTAGAAATGTCTGTTTGGGCCTTTGGGTTGCTAATGTCTTTTAATTACCATCGGTTTTACAGTCTTTGGGGTCTGGCTAACTAACTGACGACAAGGAAAAGAAACAAAGAGAAAAGGACACACACTGGACACCAGATAGACAGAAACAGCAGAGAAGAGAAACCAGGCTAGAGCTGGGAAAACGGCTGGGAACACAAATGTAAACCAACAGCCAACTCCCAAAACAGAAAAGCCAATCCTGGCCTTCAAGAAACTCCTAACTCTCGGATGCAAATAACAAAAACGAAGACAAATACCACCACGACCCTCTCCCGGGCCAACGACAAGCCTTATTGCTTTTGTCGTTGCTATGATCCCAATAAAGGATTTAACTTATTTTCTTTTAAAACCAATGCAGTGCAGTGGGTACAATGGAGTAAAAATGCACTGGGAAAATAGAGAGGGGTACCAGATTCTGCCAGGGAGAGCCAGTGACACAGACCCTACAGAACACTGGCAGACTCGCTCATGTGTGAACACGGAGCCCGAGCACCATCCTTCCCCCAGATCCTTGCACAGCAGCACCATCAGCCTCTACCTCCAACCCGTCCAACATTTACAGGACGAAGTAGCACACTCCAAGGTACAGACCTGGAACAGAGACTGGGCGGGACTTCTGGGCAGGGCAAGGCCAAGGGCTGCTATCCCACACCTATTTCGTTAACATCATCCTTGCTTGATCCCAGGGGTTCCAACCAAGAGCTGCAAGGTGAACTAGCCTAGACCCTGTGAGTGAACAAGTTCAATGACTCAGCAAGGTTGAAGACGGAACCTTGTCCAGGTCCTGGGAGGGATAAGCAAACTGCTGGGCGCCGAAGCACAGGATGTGGGCACTGGAAGCACTGGAAAATGTGTTCGGCCCTCTAACTCTGCAGAGGAGCAAACAGAGGCTTTTGGGAAGAAGGTAAGTACTCTGCCCCTAAGGTCTCATAGGCAGCTGAGAGTCCAGAAAAATACTACTTTGGAGCCATGTTTTCTCCATTCCTTTAAATTGCTTCCTAGGAAATAAAACCCAGGATTTTTCGGGTGTTTACAGTCTAGCTGGAAGGGCAAAACCTACACAAGTGAAACATTGAAACAAGACTGGTTTCCTTTACTGACAGATTTAAGACCAATGCAGAAAGGGTGAGGGAAGGCAGAGCATTTTTGCAGCTGGGTGGGGCGAAGGTCAGGAGGAGATTTCCTATAAAGGTAATGATGACTCCAAGGGGAAGGCATAGTAAAGAGCAGGCCAGGAGTTCCAAGGTTATTACAGTGTATCTTCTCTGACCACTTCCTCTCCTCATCCCCACCCAAGGAGCCTGGCAAGCTACCCCAAAGGCGGGTATTGGGCTTGTTATTTCCCGTTGACCGTCCTTGCTCATTCATTCATTTATTCATTCTACAAACATTTAAGAGCCTCCTAGGATGAGTAAGAACTGCCCCAGCTCTCTGCCCAACCCTGGCCCTGCGGAAGCCAGATCCATTATCTTTAAATGGCAGGGAGGTAGAAGCCATGCCAGGGTGGGGCAGAGTGCTGTGCCTGGTCCAGAGGGCACTCAATTTGCCCCGAGGAAGTGTCACCTAGAGATGTCAGGAGCTGGGGGTGGCCCGGTGAGGGGGTGAGGGGCACAGCACATGCAAAGGCTGGCAGGGAAGGAGCCAGAGTTAATGGGGGCATAAGAATCGGATGTAACAAGATGTAACAAGATGTAACAAGAAGGGGTTTGGGGATGGGCAACCTGGCCGGTGGAGCTCCACCTTCTGGTGCAAAGGGCCACAGAGGCGCACCTGCCGAGCAGGCTGGTTTCCGCCAACCCTTTAGCCCAACAGGTGCTTCCGGGTTTCCTGTTGTTGACAATGCTGCGGAGATTGTTCCATTTACAGAGACAATCCTTCAGATCAAGCCGCTCCCTCCAGCTCCTTCCGGTCACGCCCTCCCCCCACCACACCCTCCAGCTACCTGGGAGGACTTCTGCCTCTAGGGTACCTGGAGATTTCCAGTTTCCCTGACCCTCTAACACAACATGCAGGACAGACTAGCCCTTCAACTCCAGTTTGCTGGCTGGTTATAGAAGCTGTGGCAACAAAAATTTCCCCTGTGCTATAAATGCCAAGTTCCCATAGAAGATTTTGGGGTGGGGGGACAACACAGAAGGAAAAGAGAACTTGACAAAACTAGAGAAACGTACCTCTGGAAAACAGTGTTAGCTGTCACATTGCCTCCTGTGTTCCCGGCCCTGTCCTTTCTCCCAGGTCCCTGCTCTAACTGTACCCCATTCCATGAAACCCACACTACAGGAAAATCAGGAAAACAATGGGGAGAGCAGGTGGAGCTCAGTCAGATAATATCAGAGTCACAGAAAAGGAAAGGAAGCACTTTGATGGAAGAACCCTTTCCACCCCCCACCCTCCACCCCACCCCCCCGCATCAAAGTCAACAACTGACAGGTGTCTTAATCCTCAAGGTAAAGTTGCCCTCACTTGTTCAGGAACTAAGCAAGTTCTGATTTCTGCTTAGAACCAGCCTTCATCACAAAAGATCACAACCCATTCGCTAAGGCTATGCCTGGCAAGGACAAAGAAATGAAAACAGAGCTGTGTGTACCCAGTAAATGACACTGGCTTGGTGCAACCCATCGACTTCCTAATTAAGTCTTTTAGGACCTGGGCACTGGCCTAAGCCAATCGGAACCAGCCAGCTCCAGGGGCAAGACGCGTGCAGCTCTAGGAGGGGCAGCCTGAATCTGGGGGGAAGACTCGGGCCACATCCAAATCCACTTTCTGCTCAAATCCTACTTTTTTGCCCCCTGTGAAGCTGGTTTTGGTGGGTAGCAGGCAGTTTGGACACTGCCTGGATGCCCACAGCAACTCCTAGGACCCAGACAGCAGCTGCCAGGCAGTTCATTTTCCTTTGGGAAGCAGCAGCAGTGGCTGCTGT